TGATAGGTCGACCACACACACCCACACACATAACCATTTTATCCACGCACCCATGTTGCAACAGCCCCCAGAATATATACACACATTACATAGTATATACCCGGAACCGGCATTGCAAGGCCGCCCAGCCAGCACCGACTTTACTCCTTTCTCTTCTCGGGCCGAAGAGGAAGAATAGGAAAATAGGCATTGCCCACATCCCTTCCCTTTCGCTCCGCCGGCTATACAAAACACGTCAAGTCCACATACCGAGTTCCCGCCCCTCGGGCCGTAAATATATATATATATATACATATGCGGAATAGCAAATACCTACGGGCCTCTGTGGGGCTGGAACCGGAAAAAAAATCCCCATGGGGTTAATGTTGGTTGATTGAGCGTGAGACGGTGAGCATCAGCGTGAAGCACACATGATTACGAGGGTTTTTGTGAATCAACATGGTATCACGAATGATACCGTAGCAAAGCAAATAGCTTGCCTCATATCTGTCCCACAGATGGCATAGCAGCGCTTCGTGCCCGTGTGTGTCTGTAGCGGTGAAAGGAAGGGGAAGGTGCGAAAGGGGGAGGGGGGGGGAGGCCTAAGATGTTAGTGTATATGTTGAGGTATCCAGGCAAGACAAAAAAAAGGATTACAGGGTTAATGATGGGAAGGGGTGTGTGTGTCTGTGTGACTTGTGGCCGAAGAAAAATGGCGGTCCCGATGGTGTGGTTACAAGGCTGTGTTTTGTTGTGTATGTGAGATGTAAGCAATGCTGGGAATAGACAGTGCTCAAGAATGGAGTATGGTCAGCCAAGAGGTAACACAGATTTTTTTTTTTTAAAAAAAAAACTAGGCTGAAAGTTGGGAGAGACCAAGGGATGTTTAGATCTCATGCATGTTGGGTCAGCGCCAAAGGAGGGGGGCGGCTGGTTTGCTTGGTTGCTTGGTTGCTCTTGCTCCCCGAGAGAGAGAAAGAGGGAGCACGAGATAGATGAAAAGGAATGTGGGTGCGCAGATGATCGAGTAAGCACGCATGTTGGTAAGTGTTACTAGAGCTATACTTGGAAGAGAGTGTGTGTGTTTGTGCATGTGTGTGTGTATGAACCACCGGCTCGGGAAAATAGGCCAACCCACCCCCCACCACCACCACCAAAGGACCCTGAACGTTACATTACGCAAGTAAGAAAGGAAAAAAAAAAGAAGAGAAATGCATGCTTGGCTAGGCTGAAAGCGACAAGTGGTGACTCTTTCTTCTATCTCACTCCTCCGTATCAAAGGAAAACAAAGAGTGTTACAAAACGAGACTTATGCACAATGTTCCCCCCACCTCCCTCTCTCCTCCCCATATCCCGAAGCAGAAGGTCGAAAAAAACATAGGGCCTCGAAGGCCTTTTTTGCATAATCCTTCCGGGAGAATACTTGTATGGGCAAAAAATGGGCATGTGTCTATTGGCCAGTCGGCAGAATGTTTTGAGCAACATAGAAAAAAGGGCTTCATGGGAACGGACGGGCTGGACGGGTTGCAAAACTAGCAGCTTGCGTGCCGCTGCGCCTGCGCGCGCGCGAGGCCCTCCCCCCCATCTCTCTGGCCATGTGCATTGCTTCAGGTACATACCGTATGGCGGGTGNGGGTGGGTGGGGGGAGGGGGTGGCCTCATCAACCAGTTCAAAGTAAAAAAACGCCTCATCTGTCACTGCCGAATCCCACAAGGCAGGCCGAAAAGTAAAAAAGAACGGCGACCCCACGATGGCTCGGGTAAGCTACAATGATAAGCGGGCACACGTGGGAGCAGAACGTTACCATAGGAGCTGCGCTAAGCACGCGGGCGTTGTGCATGTGAACGATGCGCCGGACCAGGGTAAAATGAGCCTGAACTGGCGTCGTTGGTCCTCGTTTTTCTTCACAAAAGGTCGGCGCGCGGTTGGAAGCAGAGAGAGAGAGAGAGCGGCATGCTACTAGTAGGTTTCAACCGGGCCAGAAAGCGTAATGAGCAAAATGGCGGTTTGCTTGTGACCTTTTTGACGGAGAGACCGGCGCCTTGGTCCGTCGACCTGCTCTACATTGCCACCCATGACCCGCGCTCCTGCGGCTTGTCGACCATATTGGTTATCAATGTGTTTATCAATGCGCGGACAAAGCGATGCGACCTGGGGGTGTATGGATCTGTGTTCCCTGTGAATGTGTGTGTGTGTGTGTGTGTGTGTGTGTGTGCCGCCCAGCATGCCTTGGTTCCACTGGCCAGGGAACTGGGAGAAAATGTCTTGTTTGGGCATCAACAGTTGATTCCTTTGGGCAATCGACGATGGCTGGGCTTTTTTTTCTCTTAGAGGCCACAAAGAAGTCCCGGCTCGGAGGAAAAGTGAACATAACATATCCCGTATCAATTCGCTGGGGAGCAAAAGCCCGCCGCTAACGGGGAAGCACAGGAGACAGTGCGATTCGTGTAAAATCCCTCACAAATGATTCGTGCCGTAAGGGCCGGAGACTAGAAGAACGCTCCCCCCGTGCACTAATGAGTTGATCAAGGGCTTCGTCGCCGCGATAGGAAAGCTTTCCTGTCCTTTTGAGCGAGGTCCAACTGTCGGTAAGATTTCGCAGGTACATTGTCGCTGAAACCCTCGGGTAATAACAGTGCGGCACAGAAGGGGTGTGTGTGTCACATGCACGACGCTTGTACATATTGTTGTACTTTGAAGGATGATCAAAAAGGTATCTAACCTGAGTAGCAGGCCTCTCCCCATCGTATTAAAAAATAGAGTTGGAGTAATGGGTGGGAGGAAAGGAGCACAGGATGCGAGGTGCAACTTTGTTCGCCATAAAAAGGGACCAGATTTGGAGCAGTGCTTCGAAGATCGAACATGTATAGTCGGGGACTCGACGCGCAAGACAATACGATACAACAACAAAGCTGGGGGGGGGGGGAGAGCGGGCCCGTTGCGTCGGCCGACGCAACGACCGGTAATTGCGAGCGACCCCCAGTCGATTGGCCGCTCCTCCTGCGTAACAGCCACGCGACGCCTCCGGAGAGCGGATGCAAGCCCCGGTCCCACAAGAGCTAGACCGAGGACCGGATCCAAGCTGTCGGGGCCATGAGCATCCAGCAAAGTGTCCGGTGGTGTGGCACTGTCAAGCCGCCATTGTGGTTGCAGTTGCATTCCCCCTGTTCCACGTTTGGGGTGGGTATGTTGTATACATGTGTACATGCACACATGAAGGATGCGCGCACGCAATTTGGGTTCCTCTTTTGCAAATACATGGTTGCGCCACCCTGGGGCCGTGGGCGAGCAGCGCAACAATGAGCAAAAAAGATCTGTGTGGCGTGCGAAAGGATGGGTTATGCATTTCAGCTAGTGCCGAGCAACCAAAGGACAATGGGTTTGCACGGTAACTTTGTGGAGTCGCGGACGGCATGCTGGTGGTTGCTTTGGGTGGCGGGATAACACAGGCTCATTGTTAGCAATCTACTGGAAAGCGGCGATCTTGCCAATTTCTTGCAGCAGTGCTGTAACAGCGGGCGCAAAAAAAAAGCAGTCGACCCTTAATGCCCAGGCCGTTGTCGTCGACGAGTGGTAAGTCATGCAGTAAAAAAGGTCCGAATAGTTCATCTGCTATACTACGACCTAAACTCTGCCAAGTTGCTTGGGAGTAATACTTTTTTCTTCAGTTATTTCTATGGATGCCGCGCACGAGGGGTTGCTGACGGCGCCGTGGAACGGTAGTTGGTCTTGTCAAGTTGGGCGCTGCCGTGTCTTGTAGTGGTCAGACACGGGCGAGTAAGTTTGGTAAGTGAGAATAGCAGAGCATCGGAAAGCCATGGACATGTGAGTCGTGGCGAAATTCGGGGCCCAAAGTTAGCACTGTAGCTGAGTGCAGGCGGGGGATCATTGTCCTAGTTGTGGGTAGCAAAGCAAATCCAACTTTTAGGTCATGGTACAGCATATCAGTGGTCCCCCCACACTCAGTGATAGACGCTGAAGGCGACAATGCACACCGCGACTTGATCACGCGGGCGTAGTTCTGGTGACGGTTTGTTTTTCTTTTTTGCCTCGCCGTGCTAAAATGCCTCGGTCTCGGGACGATATTGCCGCGGTGACGGTAAGGCTGGAAAGGGTCGCTTATCTGGGGGACTGGGCAAAAAGAAAAGAAAAGGGACAGAAGCAAACGTGCCGGGCCTTGGATCCGATGAACCAGATGTAGCGAGAGCGGCTGGGGTGCGTCAAAGGCTTTTTTTGGATGCTGCAGATGTTCATGTACAATTTGAAACGGTGTGGTTGGAGTCGCTGGGCATCGAGGGCGGTGACGCACATCGTGAGATTGGGGTGGCTTAGGGGACAGCAGCAACCACGGACAAGGATGGGTTAGCGGACAGGCACCGGATCGTTGAGGGCCATGTAGAATTTGCAATGTTTGGCTAGCGAAACAGTAGTTCCCGATGTACAACTCATGAAACAAGCGTCACGCCGCATGTAGCGACGAGGAGCAGTCACACCTGATGGCTTTGTGGCTTCGTGATTCGACGGGCCGCCGCAGATGACCTCGAGAAATTGCGGTGCAATCGACTGACGTAGCATGTCTGCCAACTTGGACGGTACCAGAGGACTCGAGGGCAGAGGGCTTGCCTGGGGGAGGGGGGGGGGGCACAGAGCCATCTTGGCAGGGTACATGGCGCTACCCCGACGTCTGGCTGTGAGTGTCTGGGGAAAGTGGTTGTGGTAGAGTAGCAGCAGCAGCAGTAGTGTTTGTTCGACAGCCGGCGTCTTCACCCGGTGGCGACACGGGGCGTGTACCTCGTGCGCGGTGACCCCTGCGGGCGACCAACGCATCCAGGAACCTGGCGAACAATGGGTCGAGTATTCACAGGCACAGGGTCATGACTTTGGGCAGTGCAGCAGATGGCAGCGATGGCAGCGATGGCGGCAACGAGGGCGGCACTGGTGGGCGGCAAAGGGGGGGCGACATGGCAGCGGCCGTCTGCTACTCGGAGGGAGGGAGTGGTGGTCTGCTGCTTGGTGCTTGCTACTCGCTGCTAGACGGCTTGACCGCCCAGCGGACGGCAGAAGTCAGGTACCCCGTGATGGAGGCACCCTGGTGCGGGGAGGGGTGGTTGTTAGCGCAAACGGCAGCAGCGAGCAGGGAGTGGCAAACAGGGCGAACGGGCAGGGGCGGGGCGAGCAGGGCGGGTGTTATGGGGGTGTGAGCGAGAGCAAGAGGGAGCGCAGCGTCGTGTAGGAGACAGGTAGGTTTGGTGGTGAGGCTGGCGGGCCGGGCGAGGCAGAGGCTTCTCGTCGAGGTGTGTGGAGGGTACTTAGTTGTGTGCTGCGACCGAGTCAGGGTTCCAAGCGGCGCACTGCCGGGCGAGGCAGGCACATGGGCAATGGGCAGGTCGAGGGGGCTAGAAGCGCGCAGGGGCCCCGTGTCGGAAGAGGCGACGAGGGAAAAGCAAAGCGAACGCAGGCGGAAGACGAGAGTAGCTTCCGCGGGGAGCCCGCCATGCCCCGTCCGGCCTAGCGCCTCACATGGCACGCTCAAGATTTTCCCTTCTCCATGCGGGTGGCCGTGGAGCGGCTGAGTCAGCGGTATTGTACCGTATTGTCCCGCCGTAATCTTTCGCCGCGGGTCCGCAGGTGACGACGAGCCCGTCGTGCAACGGATCCGCGAGCAACACTCGACCCACGACCCACGACGGGAGCCAGACGGTGCAACCAGGCGGCTACGACAGCACCGCACATGGCACGCCCGCCACAACGTCGACGATTCATCGCCCTGAGCCCGCGCTGGGCGTGGCCGTCGCCGCCATGGCATGAGGCATGAGGCATGAGGCGCGAGGCATGAGATGCGACATGAGACAGACGGTAGACACGACGAGTCAGGGCGACATGTTCTGGAAGTCCCACAAGGGGAGCGCAACCTGGCCAGCCCGCACGTCCGCCGTGCATGCGAGCGAGACATCATGTGCCTCCCCACGCCCAGCCGCAGACCCATTCACATCACAAGAGCCACGCGCGCGGCGGCGGTACACGGGGGGGTGCACGCCGTGGACACACCTGGCCCAGGTGGCGTTGGGGGCCCTGGATGCGTTGTTCGTTCTCTCCAGGGCAGGCCAGGCGGAGAAGGCAAGGCGGAGGAGCCTGTCTCTGCTGCCGCTGCCACGCCTCCACCTCCGCCTCGCAGCAACATGTACCGTACGCCCGTATGGGCATGGCGAGCTGGCCACGAGCGTCGCAGAGACTGACGCCATGGGCCACGGGCTCAGCGTGAGAATCGGCCAAAGAGCGGTAGAAAGGCCGGACGGGCTCTGGATGCAATCTGCCGGGGGTGCTCCGGCGGCCCTTATCCTAGGGCTAGGGATGCATGGGTAGGCTACTTAGTGGGAGGGAGGGAGGGAGGGGAGGGGGGGTGCGTGCAAGAGAAGGGAGGTGTGGCCCAGGTCGTTGCTCTTGCTCTGGCCCACCCCTGTCGCTGCAGTCCGCGCACACGCTGTGGGCTTTATACATACCCAGATCCACTCCCACCTGTGCTGCCACCAGACGTTGCCCTCTTACACACCCACACACACACACACATACATACTACACCTACCCACTGCCCACAGTAACCCTCCTCTTCCACCATCAACACCACCACCACCACAGCCACCAGCAACTCCATCCACGGCATTCCATCCATGTCTCCGCGATCCCTCTAGTCCCGCCGGCACTCCCTCTGCTCGGCTCTTCTCCAACCCTCCCCCCGTTGACGCAATCGCAACTCAAGTAAACCGCCCACTTCCAAGAACCACGACCACGGAACCACGCCGTCCCCACTGCAACTACCACCCCCCCACCCAGAATCCCCTTCCCACGACCACCGACACTCGCTCCTGCACTCTAACCTCCACATTCTCGAGACATGCCTCTCCGCGCCGAACGGCCCATTGTGCGCGTCGAGCCCAGCTCTATGCGCACCATCGAAACCAGCAGCACAGAGAACCTCTTTGGCCTCTGGTCTGGTGAGTAAACCAATGCAACAGCGAGCCACTGCAAACCACTGCAATCCCAATCCGCCGGGAGGTGCAGCTGGACAGCAGCCTCGCCCACCACCCTAGACACACGCACTAACACAACTGCAACAGTCTTTGCCCGATGCTCCCCAGCCATGGAAGACGGCAAGCGCTACGAGAACATGGCATGGCGTCTTTGGTCTCGCGAGACGTTTTGCTGCCAGCCTGATTCGCTCACATCGTCCCGTTGGTCGCTGGGACGTCGGCTGTCAAGCAGCGCCCCGGACGTACCCGAACTCTCCACCAGCGTCGCTTCCGACGAGTCCAATCTGGACAGCGCAATCACCTCAACCTCCCGCTCAGACCTCTCTGTCTCTCGCCCCGACCTTCGCCGCCACGACTCGGCAACCAGCCACGCCCGTGGCAAGCACATGACTCCCATTGGCCTCGAAAAGGTTGTCAACTCAATACAGGAGAAGAAATTCATCGAGCCCCTCTCGCCTCTCCCAGCCGAGCTCGCCGCCCCGATACCCGAGCTTAAGCCAGCCGAGGAAGACACGACGCCTCGCAGCGCCACTCCCCCCTCGCATGCCCGCCCCATTCCCGAAGCCTCGACCTCGACCGTCGCCACCAGCGTCGGCTGCGACATCATGAGCCCTGCAGTCGGCTCCGAGGCCAGCACCTCGACCGACGTGAGCGAGCACAGCGTCGTACGCGGTTTCGAGCCTGGCCACATCTCCACCTCGATTCGCTCGAGCACTAACCTGAACCCCACCCCCATCCTCAAGAAGACGTCCAGCTTCATCACCAAGCCGCTGCCCGCAAAGGCCGACACCACCAAGAAGAGGCAGCCCATGTTCACACTCGGCGGATCGTCCGAGGAGGAGAACTGCAGCTCCTTCGAGGCCTACTCGATGGCCCAGCGCAGCTCCCTCACCGAGCACCTGCGCAAGGCTGCTGCCCCCATGCGCAAGACGACTTCGTTCAAGACCGAAGTCAGCACCCGCACCTTCCAAGACGCCACCTCTGAAAGCGAGGCGGCCATTGAGAGCGACAGCGAGGATGACATTGACGAGAGCGCCATTGAGGAGGAGGACTCTGATGACGACGACTGGGAGGATGACGACAACGAAGAGAGCGGTCCTCCCAGCGTGGCTGACCGTACTCCTCTGTTCCAGCGGGTCGACTCCAAGCCTGACCTCACCTCGCGTCGATCGCTCCTCACCACCGCTCTCCATCAGGATGACCGCGCACTGGCGCTTCAGAACGCCGCATCCCGATCAACCCCTGCCATCCGTCGATCCCGCACATCGACGCCAAATGGCCCCTCCACCGGCAACTCACCCCACGACGACAGTGGTCTGATGATGATGCGATCCCAGGCCTCTCGCCCCAAGCCCATCATCATGACCACGTCCAACGTCCACCCACCTGCCATGTCTCCCAAGACGACGAGGCGCAACATGCTGACCTCGGAGTTGACTGGAAGCTTGAGGCAGAACCTGCTGTGGGAAAGGCAACAAAAGAATGCCACCACCAACGCAGTCGCAAAGCGCCAACAGAGCGCTGCGAACCTGCCTGGCCTGCGCCGAGCAATGACGACCGGCGACGTCAAGGGCCTCAACAACAACAACGAACAACAACCACAAGCTAAATCATCGGCTTTCAAGGATGACAGCAAGCCCAGCAGCACGTACAACCAGTTCTTCGACTCTGGGCTTGGCGATTACCACAAGTCTGGATGGTAATCAAGCATCATTCTTTTTTGCTTTTCAACGTTTGCACTTCTAGCGGCATCTATGGTTTGGCATTGAACCAGGGCGTTTTTGTGTTTTAATTATGCTCTTCTTTTTTGGTTTCTTTTTGTTCTCCATTCTACCTTGCCTGCCCGTCTTTTTTATCTTCTTTTTGTTTTTATTTTTTGGTTCCAGACTTTTTATTGTTTGGCGGGACCTGCCCCAGTCGAGTGGACTGAAGGGGCGGGCCAGCCGATCTGGGGTAATGTCCAACCCAAAAAACTTCTGATACCATCAGGGCTTTCAGTATGGCCCGACGAGGCTACGAATTTCTTTCATACAGTCATTGCGTTTGACATGGGATTGCGTCTTCTGTATGTGGAAGATGGGTCACGGCTCACGCCTATCTGGTCTGTACTACTATCACCTGCACTGTACTTTTATCGGGCTGTTTGCCCGAGCCACTATACCCTGGAATGGGACGGCTTTTGCGGAGCTGCCCGATGATGGAAATATCCTCGCATGAAAGATAGCAGGTATTTGCCTACATAGGTACTTAATGACAAAAAGCGGATTCTTACTACATTACTCAAACATTCGACCCTGCATTGCATTGCACGTGCGTGCGTGTGTGTGTGTGCGTGCGTGCCTTTCTTTCTTCGGTGACTTGACTTGTGATGGATGATAAGACGATGAAGATGGAGCATGGGCATGGGTATGGGAGGGGCCGCCGGTGAGGCGATGCACGAGACACCGAGGCAATACTTCTGGGGGGGCGGGGGGCAGTTTTTTGATTGAATTCTGTCGCAATGTCAGGTGTCCAGGGATTCAAAGTCCCAACAAAGAGACACATGCTCGGTTTGGAGCCGTCTGTTTGGTAGGCCTCTTTACCGCTCTTCCATATCATCTACCAGAGCTAGGTAGCCCAGATGAGCGCTTATGCACGCTTTGATGTAGGCTTCCCTGTGGCGCGCGCTGAATACTACCCATGGCATGCCACACATGTCATGACTTGGATACTTTGTCATCTACTGTAACAAGGCAACCGTGGACGGCCGTTGGGTACATGAGTAACGGGCCCAGTTATCTACAGATATAGGTCTTGGCCAGGGTGACATATAAGAAGAAGAATAATGAACAGACGGCCTATTTTATGACGAAGCTGCGCCTCACAAATTACCTCTGGCACTAGCAGACAAGGCCGTCGCGAGCCAGTCTGTATCTGCCAAACCGGTTCCCGCCTTTGGTCGGGCCGGCTTCTTGTCCACTGTGGCTGCGGTGTTGAGACGGCGTGCCTCACCTGTGCTGCACCGACTGCAACTCATCACCCGAAGGGCAGCATAGCTCATGTCTGGATAGAGTATGACGGTGGGCAATCAGGAGGTCGTGTCTCATGAAACACAGGCTGCACTCGATATACGCCAGCAATTGTTTGACGTGCATCACCGTGGGATCGGCGGCGGGCGAGACTCGACTGTTGCTGCTGCAGGCCGCACCGCTCATCAGCCTTATGGCGCAGGCGCAGGCGCAGGTGCAGGCTGCGAGCCCAAGCCGACCACTGCTCTGGCCCATGACACACACATTCGCACGCCCGGCTCTGTCCTCCTCTGCCTGCCCACGACACCTTGTCCATCAACCAACAACGGGCTTTCTGCGCAATCAAGCAAGGCGTGTCCGGACTGATGACAGTGACATGCTTAATGTCCGCCATATCCATCCCGCTTGCGCCCACACACACACGCACGACGTCATGCTTGCAATGACTCCCACGCGCCCCCTCCCCCCCCATTCTCCCCGCCGCTTGTCCTGCCCTGTCCTCGACACTTTCTGCTTCGTCGCCCCCCACTACTGTAGAGCACTCTATTGACTTGCCGTCTGCCTACGCATACCCAAGCCTCGCCAGCTGACTTGCGGATAACCGTCTCGCCAATCTTCCCCTTCAACTTGGCTCAGCAAATGGGAACATCCACCCCGGATCGTATGGGCTCAGCTCAGCGGGCGGACCCAGTCAACCCGCATTGTTGACGCCCTCCCCCCCCTCCCCCCGGTGAAGGCGTTTGATCATCTGGATGCTAAAAAAACAATCCTCTGTATCTGCATTGGCGGACGGGGTTGATGCGCTGGCAGCTTAGCGCCTGCGAGTGGTCATCTGAAGCCATACTCGACGAGTTATCTTGAAGATGATTCAGCCTCATGTACAAGGCCCCTTCCGCCACGCCAAAATGCTCCCTGGCTATACTTGTGTGTCAAGCGTCGGTCTGGTAATACGCTGACACTCCTCGTCGCCGTCACCGTGATCGTCGCAACCGCTCCTCACTACGGTTGGCAATCACCTGGGACCAGCCCTGTCCGCCCTTTTATTTGTTGCTCCCGTGCAATCAAGGCGACATTGCTCGTCACATGAACTCGCATTGTCACACATGTCCCATTCCACAAGTTGGTCGTATACATACATACATCCATTCGTTGGTGATGTGCCTCTTTTTGTGCCAATGACTGCTCGTTGCAGATCTGGTGTATGCACACGCATTCGACTAATAACATGTTGAAATGCTTGTCTGCGTACGATGAAGCGGGAGATAATCAACTGCCGCCATGCGGCAAAGCAATAACTCCACACAGCCTACCTGCCTGCCTACCTCCCTGCCTGCGCCGTCGACACCACCGTCGGGTTTGCCCTGCTCAAGCGTCGTGGCCGCGGCTTCATACCCCATTGACTGGATACACACGGAGTATTACACAGCGCCAACATCTCCCGTCAATACATGCCGCATTACACCGCTTACGATCATCACTTCACAGCCTACGACTCTTGAGAGACAACAAGACCTAGCCCAAGCCACTCGTCTCGCATACTACGGCTTATCACTCCAGCTCGCGGTACCATCTACCGCATCCGGAGTAACAGACAGGGTGCCAGGATACACACACACACACACACACATACACACATCAAGCCCTCCGCACCACTTGCCCCACCCCCTCCTCGGCGCGCTGACGCCGTTGCTCACCAGTACCATGAGTCCTCGGCCCTACCGCCTCATTATCAATCGTCCAGTCTGCTTGGCACCACTTGCTACCCTTTCGTATTGGCAAAGTACCAAGGGCGTTCCGAAGCTGATCGTATACCGCAATTCCTTTGAGTTTCATTTTCTTTTCTTGCAACAAAGCACATGCATGTCCAATCGTCTTGGTCTCACCGCATCCACAGAAACTATTGCTAAAAGGCTATTGACGCAATATTATGCAAGCTCCACTTCGGAAGGTTTTGCTCAAAGAGCATATACATATTAATCTTCCCGGGCCATCGAGGGCTCCGTGGCTTCAAAGCACAGAACCAGAAAAGATACCCCTGACGTCGTACTCCTTGAGAAGGACTGTTATTTAGTATCTTCTACGTCACCCTCTAGCTTGAGACAGGCACTTGGTCAGTGCAATGTTATAGCTTTAGCTCCATCGCTCCAAAAATGCAATTGGCACCCTCTTGATTGACAGCATTGCTAACTTCAAGCGCCGTTTGACATCCGCCTAGTCAGATGGTCTGTGGACTCGATCGCGATCCCACAAACTTTCAGGGAGATCTTGCAGTTGTATCTCGATGGATTATCGCAAACAACCTGATCAGAACCACATGAGCAGCCGCATTAACAACACGAGACCTACCAAGATTCCTCATCTTTTTTTCTTCTCCCATAGTCTTGGTAAAAGACAGATGTAGACTCCACTTGGATAGATCTATGCCAAGGCCGAATCTAGCCTTACATCGCCTACACGCCCCCATGGCCTACGTCACTCAGCCCCCCCCCCCCCCCCCCCCCCCCAAGCTTCCACATCAACTCGGACGACTTGTTTTCACACACTGGCCCATTGACTGCAACAATGGATCAAAGCTACCGGCCTGAGGTGGCCTCAGCAACGCCCAAACGTCCGAGGTTCCATGACGAGGGATCCCATAACATGTGTTCATGAACCTCTCTCGGCGGTGAGTACGATTGGGCCGGGATAGGCTTGCACCGAACAAGTACACCTACCAAGGTACTTTCGGCTAGTTTTTCGCAAACACCGAGGTTTCTCTGATACGAACACATGGGCAATGGACTGCTCAAAGCCCCGTGTCTGAAGTATGTTACGCTCCCAAGAGCTGATTTCCTGGCATGATGTTCTCGATCGCGAGCACCCTTTGCGATTCACAGACTCGGTCGTGCACCTGACTCGGCCCATGTCGCGCCCACGAGCCCTGCGACAAAGGACATGGCACACAATCGACCTGGTCCGAGATGCAGTCAGCATGGCAAGTTGAAGAGATCTCGGATATTGGTCATGGAGTACGAGACAACGACGATGCCAGTTGGTGGGCAAAAGACGACTTCATTTGGTGACATGCAAGACATGTGGCTTGGATCCAAAGGAGACGCCGTTTCGTGGTACCCTACCGACAAGGCGCAACCTACAACTAGGAAGCGCTTCCCCGGCCTCAGGTGGCATGGCATCTATTTGGGACAGGCCTCCTTGTCCAAGCAAGCTGAGATTCTGTTTTAAGCACACGGAGCAAACTCCGGAATCATGCCGTGTTTTATTACCGACCCTGAATTTTTTCTTGGACAATTTCTGACAGACAGAAGGTTTATCAGAATCAGGTGCTTCGGACGTTGCAGCGGCAGGGGTTTCTCCACAAGTCAGTACCGCGCGCCCCCGAGCTCAATTTATGCGGCACGTTCGAGTATGTGGTACGCAGTATAATAATACCACTGATCTCAAGCGCGTATAATTGTACACAGCCATCGGCCGACGTGTCGCATTCTTACAGGCAAGGGGTAGGACGGCGACTGGACTAAGCCACTAATTGCGCGCTCGTCGGGCGCTGAGATCACGAATGCCAATGGTGTTGGGGCAAGCTGCGATACGAACCGGAAGAAAACACGCACTGCCTGGCGCATGGTCGGAAGGATAAACGAGTCATGAGAACACTTGTGTGTGTAATCTCTCGTGTTGGGCGGCGAGCCTACGTGCGTAGCTGCTGCAGTTACATGGGAAGCCCAAGACCAAGGGGTGCTGAAATGCTTCGGATGAGACTTTTGGGGCGCGGTCCGACCTGCTTATCCTCGGCCCTTGCTCACGCGGTGGCTTCATTGTCACTGAAAGGCTTCCTGGTTCCCACGTGTCTAAACATCCAAGTGACGCCGAAACCCTGAAGATCTCCAAATCGGCGAAGAGGCCGTTCCAAGTTTTTACCGCTACTAAGCCTATTTGTGTTCCAGAAATGGTGCAACCACCATTGAGCGGAACGTTGATTAGCTTCCCCACTGGTCCTTTACCCCGCAAGCCCCCTTGGGATCTGGTTAGCTAGACAAACTAGGAAAGTTCCGACGCGTTTTACCAAGGCACAGCTTGGAGCGAAGGCTTTTGGACATGTCAGGTGTTGCTGACAAGACTCGGGAACGGTGGTTACAGTTCCCCAGTCGGGCAACCCCAGTCGTGGCACGTCGACCAGTCTGTGATGACAGGGGGCGAGTGGCTGGCCCACCCCATGCGCAAGCGACGTCAACCAAGATGGCCGCACCACTGTTTCCATGGATCTTCGCTGCTCGCAACTTAATCCACCACTGATATTGTCGTCATCACACCCATGCCCACAAAAATTCCACTCAATTGCCGAAACCCCCAAAAATCTGCCTCCCCGCACATCCAAGCAAACCCTTTTTTTGTAAAATCACGGGGCTCCGCAAAAAAACAAAAAAAATAGAGGTCGCTGGTCGATCTTTTCTGGGGTCAACACTTGGGCTTGGATGTCACGAGCGGTCATGACGTACATCTGGAGAATGCAGGTACCACCACTGCCGATCGTGCATTGCCGAATACGGCAATCCGGATAAATTCTCCACTCAGCCTTGCCGCGTAAACGGTGGAAGAAATACTCCTAGTAGAGCGGCCTCGTCAGCCTCGCCTGGCTGCATTGAGTTGGAGCAAGCATGTACGAGTAGTGTACGTGCAGGACTAACTAACCATCGCCACACACACACACACACATCACTGATAGCGTAGCTGCATCCGCAAATGCAAGCTGCAGCATTATCATCCTGTCAAACAGATATCACATCTTCCCCGTTATTAACATGGTCTAGCTTTAAAGCACTGTGTACATCTATATGCCGACCACCTATTCCACATTTCCTATCTTGGCATTGGTGCCGGATATGTATCACGCCATTGTAAGGTAGGCTCACACCATAAACACCGGCAACTTGCGATTGTAAATCTCCTTTGTCGTTGAAATGGCTTGCTCTGTTTGATAAGCGATACCCCTCCCCCGCCTCCCCGGAGACATTCAACAAGCTGTTTGAAACCCAAGTGTCAAGCTTGACCCGATCAACCCACATGTCCCAAAGCGGCGTAGACCAATGTTTTTCCAAAAGAGGAAATTGCAAATTTGTATTGAACGCGCAACCTCGCTACATACACATGCCACGGCCGCTTGTTCGATTCGAACGGGGGCAAGTAAAAAATGCGCGTGTGCATGTGTGTTGTAGGTGACGCCACTTGTCTCACTATTCAATCAACAATCAAAATACGAAGCGAAGCCGAATTCAGAAACTTCGACGACACACATCCATCACCGTTTCATCATGTGAGCGTCAACAACAATAAACAACAAGTCTGTTCTAGTCGTGAATGATGCGAAGAGAAAAAAAATTAGATCTTTGTTGGGAAAACGGGATTACGACGGCACACATGCGTATGGGTAAGCTTCGCCCTTTTGGGCTTTTGTGGCTTGGGTTTTCTCGGAGCGGAGGCTGCATAATGCACACTCACACATGTTGCCTTGTGTCAACGACATGTTTTTTTTTTGGCGCCATGTGCCGTTGTTGCCTAGATGCAGATGGGCGCTAAATGGTAGCCGAGCTCTGCCGATGTTTACTCTATGTGCACACATTAGCTATGTTTGTACTGCGGAAAAAAAAATTACATACATGCGGATGTGGAGATTGTGAATGATTACTGTAATATTCACGTGTGGATGTGAGTGTGGAGGTATGGAGGTGATAGGTAGTGTACACCACCACACTCGGCCATACCGATTGCCATACCAATTGCAACGCAAAAAACCCCCCCCCCCCCACCTCTCAGCATTGATCCTCTATTGTCTCTTCGCCATCACAAAAAAAACTCGAATCGAGTAATTCTATCAATCCCATCCAATCCACAATTCAAACTATCGATTTCCTACCTATCCCCGACCTCCGACAAACAATCTCCACTCCCTACTCCACCATCACATGTCTACAACAGCTACACCTCCTTGCTTCCCCTCCCCCCCAAAAAAACCCGCGTACGAGAAAGCAAGAAAACCAAACCCGTGAACCTCCGATACCCAGACCCACACACCCCTTCTAGACCTTCTCCCGCTTTCCACCCTCCGCCCCCCCCACAAATAAACGCCCGCCCCCCCAAAAAAAGCCCAGTTTTTATTTTATTTCGAGGTGCATTGTGGTCTTGTAAGTATGCATTCCATCTCGATACTGCGCCGCGGATACTAAGGAATTAGAGACAGTTGGGGAGGGTTCTAGGTCGTTATGCCCGCGTGTAAAAGTCGGTATGTAGTTTGTGAGGTCCCGAGGAGGTCGAGATGAAGAAGAAAAATGGACCACACAGTCCGACCCCCACTGTTTTTGGTTCGTCGGAGGTTATAACCCCCCAACCCCCAACCCCTTTAGCGCAGTTGTGTCCCGAGTATACGAAAGTGGAGTGGTTTTCTTGGGTGATTTCACATGTGAGGGATGCAGCGTGTGCTAGTGTGATACCGTGATGGGTATAGTATGAGGTTTTTTTTGTCGGAGGTTAGGAGGGGTGTGGGAAAGTCGGAGGTAGCATGGATGCATGGGGGGGGCGCGCGATGCGGTAATGCCCGATATTTGTGGGTTTTTGTTGCCAGGGGGGTGAGGCGGAGGGTTCTCAACAAGAAAGGTCTGTGGCTGGGGAGGTCTGTGGAAGATTTGTTTAATTCTTGGTGGTGAACGTGATGCTAGAGAGTTTTTTTTTGGAGGAGGGGGCGACCGGTTGGAGAAAAGAACTTTCCGAAATTCCTACCGTGAGCGGCGTTGAAGGATGGATTATGGATGTGGCTTTTTTTTTCCCTTCTACTCTCGAGGTTCACGCTAGAAGGTTACATGGAGGCTTTGGATCCTTGCTTCTTTTCGTTGTTCTGGTTCTTCGCTTGTGGGGTTGGGAAGGGAGGAAGGTTTTGTTGAATACCTTAGCTAGATGGGTTTTGTCCGATGTGGCGTCTACCGTCTTAGCTACATGGCTATGGAGACGGGTAGTATGCATTGCTTTAAGCGCCAGGATGAGGAACCGGTGAACCCACATTTCCTCTTTCAAACCATTCGTATTTGTGGTTTTTTACTTGAAAAGAAACGAGAGAGTGATTGTGCTATGTAAGCACTGCACTGAGCACACAACCAGTACCATGGTCCTTGCTTCTTCCTAGCCCTTCCTTACATCTCAATTGCTCTCAACTACCAAGGTCCGGAACTTAGCAATGTAGCGCTTTCTAATAGGAACAAGAAGCGGGATACGGGTCCAGTCATACATTTCATACATGTACTGTCTTCACTACGGGAAAGACATATGTGGACATTGTGAAGCAGTTCCCTCACACTTACTCAATCCGCAACTCCATTGCGCATTGTGATATTCATCGTTCTCCGATCCACATTCATGGATTCACGTGCAGAATCATACGCGAATTGGTGTACCTAGTGCAATACTAGTCCCGGTCATCCACCGTATCCGTTGAGTACATAGTATCATCTGCGCTTTCATAATAGCAACACTGACGCTGTATGGCTTGGTCCTTTCATCTCTCATCCCTGATATCCATACACTTATCACAATATATTCCCTCTCTTCACCCCATTCATGGTTCAGATTCGCTGGAGGAAGATAGCCAGTCCCTTTACTATACTGTCAAGTCAGCACTCTCCCCTCATGACTTGGTGCTTTATTAAACACAAACATATTTCACATTCAGACCAAAAAAGAGCCAGGATCATACTCGATTGCGAACAAAAGTCATCCTTCATCCAGAATTTGCACAAAACCGTGTCCATGCTCTGCACCAAAAGCAATGATGAAAGTATCTCTAGCACGAAATATGGCATACAACACTCAAAACATCCTCGTGTATCACTTCGAAACTACCATCCATCTCTCGTATCTCCCATTCAATCCCCGTTTTCCACCCACATTCTAGTACTTCCTTCCCCACGCTACTCCACCCTCCACTCCCTTTACGCACCCAGCCATCTTTCATAGAATAGATCACTTGTGGATGAAATATCTGCAACCGAACTCCGGTGTACAACTCCTAGGAGTACACAGTTGCAATTCCGCTAAGAATAAACTGAATTGCGAAAAGAAAGAAGAAAGCACTACTGATCCTACGTGGACACTGTGTGATGGATTTTTCCAGTAGTCGGATGGTATCAATTGATTCTGTCTAAGCGTAAGGACAAAGCACCGGGAAATTTTTCCAAAACAACCCCCCCGTTGCGCACAGAGCAATTGGAGAAAAGTAATTCAATATGCCATGTCGAGTTGATGATGCCAAGGAGTAGTGCAGTGCAGTTCAGCTATAAGGTATGTGACAAGTGCATTTGTCCAGATCTGAATGCTTTTTACTCTGATGACTGCTTCTTACTTGGGCTGGCGTTAAGTTCTAATCCGGGTACTTTAATGCACAGAGAGACTCTAACTGGCACAGAATGAAACGTAAGAAAATAAGCAATGGATTCGTCGTCACAGCTGTCAACTCGTACAAGCACACTTCAGCGATCATTCCAAAGTCATGTGCCATCATGATGCGTGTATTTCTTATTCGTTTTGAACAGTCCATGGGTATACCAGTGACATCTCGATGCTTTCTAACTAGCCTCAAGTCTCAAGTCTCGCTACATGCTAGTATACTCAACTTGGACACTAAGTCTCGTATCATCATGACATTGCATACGGCAGTGACATGTGTGGCGTTTAGAAATCCTGCTCTCCGCTTCCGGCAATAATCACATTGTTGACCTGTGCCGTGTGTTAGCTCGTATGTGTTGTGCATCATTGCCAACGAAAATGATGCAAAAAAACAAGTTACAAGTAGCCGTGGGTAGCGACAAGAAAACCACAGGTGACACCAATGGATGCCGCGTTTGTCGCATGTAGCAGCAAAAGACAAGCATGCATGCAGGCATTTGTGCGGCCGTGACCGTACCTTCCCCGCTTCCCCGCTTCCCCGGCATCGTGATTGAGTCAAGGTTGTAGTGCAAGGGATACCGGGGATGGCGAGATCACACAGACAACAGACAACAAAGAAAGTTTGACGGGAAAAGGAAAAAAGAAGGTATGACGGGCAAGGGAGAGACCCGGGGCATGTAACAAAACACCAAAAGTTACAATACGTACCTTGAGTACCATACGGCACAATTGTGTAGCGAGCAGCAGCTGTTGTCGCTTCGAGATCAGAGGATCAATGACAAAATGCTCCTTCATATCTGCAGAGAACGCCACGTTAGCCAAAAATTCCATATCAGGCTGCCAACAATGCCCGCGGTACTGTGAATGGAAGCGACAGCACAGCACGGGCGGCTCAGATGACTCTCATATCCCCCACCCAGGATTGTACCATGCCAGCGCAGCACTGGATGCGTGGGGTAATTTCATCCTACCCCACGGTGGCGTCAATTTGAGTTGATGCACCGCGGAACACATTTCCCCAAACTGGTGGGATCATGCAGGTTGACCGAACGGCGGTGAGAATCATAGCAACCAGATGCCGCTGAAACCAGAGAGATGCATTGTTCATTGACAACCACTAGAGAAGGGGCGCACTTACCATTGGAACCGGTCTGCATGCAGTCAACACCTAACCGGTAATTCTTCTCCTTGGCCTGTCGGGACTTGATGTTGGCGAGGGTTTCGATTGGGCTCAGACCAGAGTTCTCGGCCAACGCCATGGGTACCGAGTCTAGGGCGTCAGCAAAAGCACGCATCGCGTATTGCTCCAGACCGGGGCTCTGCAAGATGTTAGCTGCCATTCATTGCCGATGCCGCGTGGGTGTTGCTTACCTTGACTGCCGCATCTTCGACGGCAAGCGAACATGCTATTTCAGCCGCACCTCCACCGTATACAATACGGTTATCTCGCACCAGATTGCGAACGACGCAAAGAGCATCGTGCAGTGATCGCTTAGCCTCGTCGATAAGCATCTTGTTGCTTCCGCGGACAAAGACTGTGACGGCTCTTGTGTTTGCACATTCCTCGATGACCAGCATCTTGTCTCTTGTCGTTCCAAATGTCAGCTCACGGACAATGCCTGCCTTTCCAAGCTTCTCCGCGCTGAGGTCCTCGAATCTTGGTACGATGCGGCCATTGGTCGCAATAGCAATCAACTCAATCTCAGGGCCTCCTACCCACCGTACAGCGGGCAGCTGGTTTGTGAGAAGAAGGTGGTTGGCCTCGTCGTCGAAACCCCATTGACATATTACTACGTTGGCGCCGGTATTCTTGATCTGCTCAATCATCTCGGTGAACTTGTTCGATTCGTAGTTTTGCAACTTCTTGAACTCGTCCACGCTGGTAATGTCGAGCTTGTGCTTGGTCTTGGGCTTCGGGGGCTCGAATGCACATGTCAAGATGGCGAGTTTGGCGTCCTTGACCTCGGAAGGCATCTGGGGGTGAGAAAAATCCTTGTCTATTATGACACCCTTGACAAGGAGTGTATCTTCCAGTGATCCACCAACTTTGCCGTCGACCTTGATGAGCTCAAAGTCGACATCTTTTCGTTCCAGATCTGCTACCGACAGCACGGCGTCTACTGCAATGTTGGCAAACTGGTCATGCGCTTTTGAGACGATCTTGCTGCCCAGACTGGTCTTTGCAACCTTGAACAGCTCTTCTGTGTTTTCCCGCGAGAAGTTGATCTCGTCGCTGACTTCGTCCAGCTTGGCCACGGCGACCTCACAAGCCTGGTCGTATCCATCTGCTATCCGAATTGGGTGGATGCCCTTGTCAATCAAATCGGCGGCTTGTTCGAGGAGAGCTCCGGCCAATACTACGACACCCGTTGTCCCGTCACCAATCTCGTCGTCTTGAGACTTTGACAGCTCGACTAGCAGCTTCGCGACATGGTTGGAGATTTCCATCTGGGAGAGAATCGTGGCGCCATCGTTGGTGACGGTAATGTCTCCGTCGGGGGAGATGAGAATCTTATCCAGTCCTCGCGGTCCCTACAATTCATAAGCTGGTGTTCGGCATGGCTCAGTTCCAACGGCTGTCGCATACCAGAGAGCTCTTGACAATGTTGGCGACCGTCTTTGCGGCTAGGATGTGGGACTTGACAGCTTCGTTTCCATGCTGTCTCTGCTTCTTGCCTTGGCTGCCCCATTGTTAGTTCCAAACTCTTTGTAGGAGCCCCAAAAGTGTATATCCTGTAGCCTACGTACTCTCGGACAATGATAAACGGCCTGCCCGCCTCATCTTTCATCACCTGCGCTGTAATCCATGGTATCAGTTGCTAGGCCCGTGGGATTGAGGGGTCGGGGAATCGGTCATGAATGGACAAACGTACCGTTGGAAAGGTCGACCTCTATAATCATCCATATCAGCATATGTTCATTGGTAAAGTTTATTGAATGAGTGAAGCTTTTGGAGCCTGCAGAACTTACGCATGGCCATGGTGAAAGAACTGTCGGCTCAAAAAGCCCTTTTCCGAGTTGACAAAAGAATCAAACGTGTATCGGTATACACAAAAAAAGACTCCCAGGGGTGTTTAGCAGTGAGGGGTGGTGGGGTCCGTCCAAACAGCTCGCATGTCCGTCTTGAAATTTCCCCGGCGAGGGCTTGGCATGGGCGTGCACGGCCTCCCGTCGCGAACATACGCGCCTCTGTTCCTGGTAGCCGTGTTCAACTCTTTGCGCATTGTCTGGCTATCTGCTGCCACAACGCCTACCCGCGATTGCCTGTGTACGCTCGCTCTCTTCAAGCTGCTCTGGGACCTACGAAGCTATTCGCACCTCTGCATGGCCACCCGCCATCTATAGCGACCCTAGTTCACCATGCCGCGTGAGTTGCGCCCGCCCGCCGGCTCTTCTACAACCCTCGTACGCGTGCAGTTCAGTAGCTTATTTGTGCCCAGCTGCGCTCAGCGACAATGAGTCCTCGGGTTCTGAAGATGTACCCGCAAAGGCAAAGGGAAAGCAACCACTAGCCAAACAAGAACCAATCGATGACGATGATGACAACGACGACGACAACCAAGATAGTGATATTGGAGAGGACGAGTACGCGCATGCCAGTGTGCCATCATATTGACTTGCGCTGACAGTACGGCAGATATGTGGTTGAGGCAATCTACGGTCATCGATTCCAAAAAGTGCGTAGCAAGGGCCATTCTAGATGCGCAGCGTTGACAGTGACAGGGTGTGCTCCAATTTGACGTAAAGTGGGAGGGATACGATGACCCCAAAGACCGGACATGGGAGGCCGAAGACAACATGTATGTTGTATCCGCCTATTCCGATTGTTTCAAAGCTAACAATTGCAGGGAGGGAGCTGTTGACGTCTTGAACGAGTACTTCTCCAGCATCGGCGGTCGTCCAGAACCAAAGGGTCAGAAGCGCAAGGGACGGCCGTCTGTCTCGGATGCCAAAGCCGGGTCAGAAACCCCAACAACAAGCTCTAAACGCGCGAAACCAGCAAAGGCGCTCAAGGTGGAGAAAGCATGGAGCCCACCACCAGGTTCATGGGAGCATGATGTCAGCTATGTTGATACAGTCGAGGAAATGCGCGATCCCAAGACGGGCGACCTGGCCAGGTTTGTATACCTTGTGTGGAACAACCAGCAAAAGACGCAACATCCCCTCAAGCACGTCTACCAAAAGTGTCCTCAAAAGGTTTGTTTTTTCTGCAATCACTTGTCGTGACTTGTAACTGACACCCTGCAGATGCTACAGTACTACGAAAGCCACCTCGTCTTCACACATGCCAGCGACGAACCTCCAAATGGTGACAATGATATCACAGATGCCATGGAGACAGGCTACTAACTCGCTTCAAGACGAATAGAATACGCAACCCAGTATCATACTTCCTTTGAGCCGCCAAGCTCCGCCGTCCCATCATTTTGCCCCGAAGATGCCTCTCGAGCACATGCTTCCAAAACCCAGTTTCCCAACTGTGACCGTTGCCCAGTCTGAACAAGAGATTAAATCTCCCACAGTATCTCCGATTACCCCTGTGGAAAGAGTCGATTCCCCTGGTCTACGTTCTGTCAACTATTCTTCCCTCACTGAACCAGCACACAAGGAAGACCCTTGTGAAATGTAACTTGACTTTCATGTGAGGAAGTGACAGGACAGTGCGGGACGTAAAGAGCAAGTTACTACAAGGCATTTTCTTTGCATCAGGGCAGGCAAGAAAAAGCTTTTCTTGCTTGTATGTGAATCTGGGAACGGCGCATTCTGGATATTTCACTTTTGATGGGTTCAGAAACTTTTTTTTTCTTTCTGTACTTTTAGTTCCATCAATACTGAGAATGGTTTTCTCAAAATGCTGTCTGCATTTTTTATGCAATCTCTAGTCTCACCCTGTACTAAGAGCTTTTAGGATTATATATCGATCGACAGATCTCGTTTAACCTAAGTCGACTTCTACACAGATCGAGTCCACCATTATGACTGATTTTGTGGACATGTAAAGGAAGCATATCAAATCTCATCATTACCATTTTCACTCATACGATGTGGCGTTAACATATCAAAAATATTCATTTCCACTCTCTCATCGTCACTTCCATACAAAGTCGTTTCGTTACGGGTATATCCCCTCTGAGGCGCTTCTAACTTCAACCTCTTTCCCTTCCTCAATCTCATTATCCCTCCTCCTTTCCATTCAGACCCAAAAGGCAAGAAAACTCCAGCCGCATATATAGCGTAGCGTACCCAAACCCAAAACGCCCAATCCCATGCTAGAATGCCCAAGAAAAAAATGTATACAAAACATCATCCCCATTCACATCCCTCGATCCCTCATATAAACCCATCTTTCGTTGTTATTTTTTGGCCGTAAAAAAGCGTAATCGCGCCGCATTGCGCATGCACCGCCGTCCCCCCAAAAAAGGTCTCCTGTGGAAAGGAGGAAAAGTAAAGTCGGAAAAGCGTCTGCAAGCGCTCTTTGTGAGACTCTCTGCGAGATTGATAAATAAATCCTCTACGAGGGTTTATACATTCTCAGTCATATCGGAAACCGATGAGGCGGTGCCACCGACCGCCATGCGCGTCTGCAGATAGTAGATACCATATGCGATAGCGGCGATGAGAATGAAGAGGATAAGGATGATGAGGAAGATGACAATGTTGCGCTGCATTTTGGCGTCGAGTTATGTATCTTTTTTTTCGGTCGTTGAATGGAGAGCGGTGTAAACGTAGATAACTACTGCATGTTAGCTATACGCTCTCAAGAAAGAGATCAGTAGGATCAAAAGTAAAAAGATGTGCGCACTGCTTTGTTTCTTTTATCGCGCGCGATAAATGCAATTCCTTAGCTGCTACTGGAAAGAAGGATTATCTTCCTCTTCGTCGTGATATGCGCAAAGCGGGGGGGGGGGGGTCTCAAGCGAACAAGTCGTAGTCTAATGTATGCCCCAAAGGGTAGTTAGAACCTTGAGATGATGAATCACCACCGGCAGCAAACGAAAGCGTATAGGGCGGGATGAGACGAGTTGAGAATATGAATGTCAGGATACAAAATGTACTTTTATTCAAGAAGACTGCAGAAATGCGGTCTGGCAGCTAGTTTTGTACAAGACGTGGCTGGGCCCGGGGGGTGCGTGCGTGCATACCCCGAGGGTGGTTGGGGGGTCGGCGCGGCCATGGCTCGTAGAGGGGCTGGGAAACAACTTGCGTGGCTGGCGTTTGCCCACCGCTCTCCCCCCCCCTCGGGAAGTGGGAATTCAGCGAGGCTGGATTCGAAACTTGGTGGAATTAAAAGGGGGGATAGTGGGAGCGGTGGGTGACGTGCTGGAAGCAAGACGTGGCACTTGGTTTTCCTCCAAGGCGGTAGTCAGGAATGGGGCGGGCGCGTGGTCGGGGTTGCGGGAGCGATGCGCAGTCACGTGTACTAGGCTTGGCGCATTAGCTGCAAGGTACGGTACGTCTTTTGTGAGTACTAACATCAGATACATTGACGTAGCGGCGATTAGTCTTTCGTGATCCACCAGAAACCAATGCATCCATAAGCAATTCTTATTAACGAGGATATCATTAATACCAGAACTCTCATCAACTATGATCAAAATCCAATAAATTGCAACAAGAGGGTATACACACAACCACTTGCACCATCACATCCACCCTCACATCCCCCCAATTCCACAAAGTAAACACCATCAACTCCATCCTTTTCACAGCCAAAATCTCCATCTTAACTACGATCCAAAGAAAACCCCAAAATATAAACCCGACCCCAAAGTCTACTGATAAAACCTCCAGTTTACCTGCTTACACTCCCACTCCTTCTTGACACGCTCTACCCTGTCCGTCGCCCACCCGCTCGTCCACCGCCCATCTTCAGTCGACCCACCCAGTCGAATCACCTTGCTAAGATGACACTCTCCATCCGCGTGATTCGAGTATCGCCATTGCAGACAATCCTCGATTTGTTCGCACGTCTTCTGGCACACCTCGGAGCTATCTGCGGCATTGGGGTATTTATCGGCCAGCTTGTCCCAATTGGGAGGCTCCTTCTTCTTCTCGCCTTCTTTCTTCTTGTCGTCTCGTTTTTGCGCGTGGGTAGTGTGTGTGCCGGCAGTTTGGAGAATGTCGTCTTTGTGGTCTTTCATCAAGTGTTCTGGGTCTACTTCTTTTTCTTTTTCTGGATGCTCTGGTTTCACGACGCCGGGTAGATCAGGTTCACGGTCAGGTTCACGTTCGGATTCCTTCAGTGCTTCCTGCTTCTTCTTCTCTTCTTCGTCTTGGTTTTGCTTGGCTTTTTGAGCTTCGTCTTTGATTTGCTGCTGTCTCCCTTGAGGCGCGACAATCTTGGCGTCATGGCTCATGTTGTCCCAGTTTTCCTTGCGCGCTTCGACGTGCGGCGCAATGTAGTCTTGGTATGCGTCGCGGAACAGATATGGTGTTTTCCAGCCCTTGGTGTTGGTCCACTCCTTCTCATGTTCCCATTGCCGCATGAGCTGGTCACCGCTGATTCTGTGCCATGAGACGGCTGGTGCACACCAGTGTCGCTTGGTGTAGTCGAGACTGTAGGGATGCTCGGATTGGAGAAGAGGCCAGGACGAGTAAAATTCGACGTGTGCGTCTGCCATGGCCCTTGCCAACATCAAGTCTCCGCAGCATTCTTTGTCAACGGCCGGCTCCCACTTGCGAGTGTACAGCTCGTCATAAGACTTTGCAAATCTTCGCAGGGCACCTTGAGACAGCAAGATACCTGGTCCACGTTGGGCCGCTTGTGTTCCAGAAATGTAAGCAGGGGCTCCGCTGTAGTAGGGTATCCGGTAGTCCAGTCTAGCGATCCACTGCAGCAAATTGGTCCAGCTCAGGGCTGTCTCTTCCTCTATGAAGACAAGGAACCTGGCATGGGGGTTCATGTGATAGGCCTGGTACACCATTGGCAGCATCTTCCATTTATCCAATTCATCGAGCTTCGCCGCATCGGGGTTGTGTTGGGCGTCCGCGCGCATGATTCGGTATTCATGAAATTGGTCGTGCGAAAACTTGATTTCGTGGCTGACAGCCTTGAGCGCATCGTGTACTTTGTGGCCCTCGAACTCACCCTCGTGGTCGCTGAAGATGGCAAAGGTAGGTACGCAGGAAATGACGGTACGGAGGTGTGCGTTCAGCTTTTCAATACTAGCCTTGGATGTCTTGAGCACCACCATGACATCTTGTGCCATTGCAAGGTTTTGACAGTGTCCTTGGACGGCTTGTGTTGAGGGAGGGGCGACGACAGCAGGAGTAGGTGCGTTGTCCAAGTTGTCTGCAGCGGCGCTCTTGTGGGCGGCAACTGTGTGGGTGAGAAGCGTAGAGGGTGTAGCAATGCCATTATTCGCGTCCTCCCATCTCCCACCGTCGTCTTCAAATTCGGCCACGCCCGTTGTGCTAGGGGAAGGGGCAGCCGCATGACCCTTTTCGCCCGGCTTGTTGTGAACATTCGCGGGTGTCTCGACGGCGGGTGGCGGAATTATCGGGTCGGTATGGACGTTCTTGTGTTCATAATGATCTATAACAGGCACTTCTGGCTTGGCGTTCTGAGCAGGAAGCCCGAATGACCAGAAGAAAGTTATGAGCGAGAAGGCGATTACGACGATGGCGAGCCGGGAGGGGGTGACGGTCGGCATGGCGAGAACAGAGGCTCAATGGCCGGGCTTGGAGTGGTTGGTTTTACAGAGAAACAATTTCAATACATCCGATTACTGTTGTCGCCTCAGGGTACAGACAGGGGCATTCTGGCGGTTGTGGTCGCAGAAGTCGCATGCCCCTCTGAGCAATGGGTGCTGGGACGGGTGCTTGAGGCGGTGCCTAGTAGGCCGCTCGCCCCCTTGGCTGTGGCGCTCGGTCGCGATGGTGCGCCTACGCCGTGTCCGCTCGAAAAGGCCCGGCTCTCGTATACTGTCAGAAAACACTCGGCCCTAGTGGCTTCGTCTTGCTGGTGTCGAGCGTGCCTAGGGAAGAAGCAAATCCCACTCGTGCACCGCGCGGATTCTAGGGGCACAGCATACGTACACGTAGTACGTACGTAGTACTAGCTACGCCTGGGCTTCGACACATCATTTCCCTCTACTAACAACTACTTATGTACAGCCGTCTTACCCCCTTCACCACGAACAGCAGTCGCCTGCTGGGATAATCATCACTGTCAATGTCGGCCTATGCTTGTCGAAAAAAAAAACTTTAATCACATCACTATGTGATTACCTGTCCCCTTCTCGTCATCCCACACAGACTCGCCCGCCATCCACAACCTCATCACCCAACATGCAACCAGCAAATCGCTCTTCCTCTGATCCCTCCTCACCCCATCCGTCATCTCCAGCGCCCTACTTTCCCTCTCCGAACCCGCCCCCTTCCACCTAGCCAATCCATCCCAACCCCAGCTCCCCACCCTCCTACTCTCCTCCCTCCCAACAACTACGCCCTCCGCATCTTCCCATACGCCCTTTTTTATGCAGAACAAAAGATGCTTCTCCGGCTCGCAACTGCCCCTGTAGTCACACCGAGAATGCCGCGCCCGACACCTGGTGACGTGCCAAATCCGTGTCCACTGCCCGCCCCACAGCGTCTTTCCACTCGTAAGCTGGATGCTGCCCCTCAACGCATTTTCGGCCCGTCCCTTCATGTCGAAGTCTGAGATTGTGTACAATGTTCCCTCTTCATTGTAGCGTATGCGCCGATCCTGCGCTGCGTGTATTGCAGGTACGGAACAAGGCCGCGTTTCGTGCGGTTGTACGCGGCGGATGTTGAGCAGGGTTGAGGGGCCACTGTTTCGGTCTAGTGTTTGTTGTAGTTGGTATTGTGGTAGGTTTCGTGACTGTGCCTCGTATATGAAGGGGGCTTGGAGTCTTAGTGTTTTTGATTCATCGTCCAGAGGTAGTAGGTCTGGGAGTATGCTTTCCAGCCTTTCTGATGTGATTCCGGTAGATCGTGGTATGCGTTCAGGAGCTGGAAAGGTCTTTGATTTGATCATTTGACGACGGCTTGGTGCTATTACTCGTGGTACAGGGATTTGCGGAGTATAGGGAGAAGGGCTGCTATTCGGGCGCGTGGAATTCGACCATGTGCTGGTAGGTGATAAAGCTTCGTCTGAATATGTCTCTTCGCTCGTCGCACTTGCTCTCCGTAGAGCATCGAAAGGGTCCTTCTCTTCGGCGTAGACATTGCTCTTAGACGTGGCGGGGTATGGCGAAAGCGCGATGCTTTCACCACGCGGTGCAGAGTAATTCGGCAGCCTGAACATTTTACAATTTTTTCGATATAGTACAAGGCAGTGACTACCGAATGCGATGTAAGGAAAACGTCCATCTATAAACCCGTCTCCTTTACGTGGTCGTCCCGCAACCCCGGATGTATCAGCCACCACGTCCCCTTCTAAGCCACCTACTTCGAGCCATTTACCCTCGCCGCGAGGACCGCATCGTGGCCCAGTCAGAACCTTGAACCAAACAAGCCTTAGGATCTGGTACAGAGTGTTGGAGGCGATTGGACGACTTGTCGCGGATCTTGCGGATTCAGGCCATCAGTAAGCGCATGAATAAGCGCTCGACATGACCAAATGTACCCAAGGTTATCGGCCAAGATACACCAACATCTCATCACGTACACTAGAGTGCTTAGAAGATTTTTATTGGATTGGATGCGAGTGTTCAACGGTGTGCGCGGGTGTTCTACGCGAAATGGTAGCTTTATGAGCATGGCCCACTTGGCGGCTGTCATGTCGTTTAGAGCACCGTTAGCTGTATTGGTAGAACTTGGCGGTCTTTGAAAGCTGACGAGTCGTCTCATTATTCCCATGGATATAAGTTCATGTCGTATGAGGCTCTGCTGCTGTGGGCTCATGTTTGAAATTTTTCGCTTGCTGACTGAGCGGCTATTGGGTGGAAAGAGAGAATTGTAAGGGACCTAAATTTTTAGAGGACCTTGAAGTTAAAAAGAAGGGCTTCCAAAAATAAACTGCCTACACATATTAGTCCATGATGCTCCAAGGTACAAATCTTGAGTCAAGTTTGATTCTTAAACTCATCCAAGTACTTCCATTCACAGTCCGCAAATACACGAACTACCTTCAAGCGCCTCTTCTCGCCCTCCCATCCTCGCATCAGACAATCGGCGCAAAAAAGTTAAACCTCCCAAATGGATCATACTCTTTCTTCAACCTCCTCAACCTCTCCAGCCTCCACTCCTCAGGCGTCTCATCACCCCTTGCATAATTAACATACGCCCCCCTCGCCTCCCCCGTCCCTTCAGTCATCACATCCCGGATCCTCCCTGCCACCTCCCACGCCTCAGCATCCAAATTCTCATTTCGCTCATAGGTCATAAACGGTGAAAGCAGCAACTGGCCCTCGCGGTCGGGGTACGCGGTGCTATCACTTGGTATAGCATCCACGCGGTTTGTAGCGTAGCCTTCCAGGAGGACAACGGTTTGGTTGAGCGAGGGCGAGAGGGAGGCCATTATGGTGAGTACTTGACGGAGAGAAGCCGGGTCATAAGTGATTGCTGAGACGGGGACGACGGAGCGGGTAAGTCCTTTTTCGCAGGATGCACCATTGCGGTCAGCACCTGTGAAGCGACTTACACCTGCCAGATCGGGTTGACCAGATGTGCTAGTGGTGGGGGACAGGGCGTATAAGGGTTCAGTGTATTGGGTTGGGATGGTGGTGCCTTGGTAGATCACGAAGACGACGACGACAGGCTGGGAGAGTTAGAATTTGTGGACTTGGCGGGAAAGGAGGGTTTACTTACATTAGTTGTGTCGATTTTTGGGTCGAAGTAGAACATTATGTAGTGATCTAGTTCGACTGGTCTGTTGGGACTTTCTAACCAGGTGTTCACGATACCCACGACACTTTCCATTTTATCGTGAGTGAAGGATAATACATCGACGGTCCAATTTTCAAGACCTGGATTCCGGTCGTAGATTTTGATCTCAGCCTGAGTCACGATGCCAAAGTTGTGGCCAGCGCCGCGGATAGCTCAGAACAAGTCGGGATTGCTGTCTTCGCTCACGGTGATGGCAGTGCCATTGGCGAGTACCATACGCGCAGAGACGAGCTGATCGGCCGCGAGACCATATCGGCCTTGGTTCCAACCGTGTCCGCCACCGAGAATAGGAGAGATGTAACCAACACAGGCGCACGCCGTGGTCATGGTTTGCTTCCCGTGAGCCCATAAGTAGTCAAGGACATCTCCGTTGAGGATGCCACCTCCGACGAGAGCAGTGTTACTACTTTCCGTAATGGATATATCATTCATACCACGCATCAAGATGCCGACAGCATGCTCAATATTATTGAGGTACGCCGTAATCGCATGGCCCCCGGAAATAGTATGGAAGGATTTGTTGTTCGCATTGGCGTACAGTATCTAGTTGACTGTAAGCTCAAAGTTACAACATCAAAAGCAAAAAGTCATCTAACCGTCTCTTGCACATCTGCCTCGGTTACGACTTTGACAATTATGTCGTATTGTGGGGTCTGTCCAGCGCCCCACCGTAACGTTGCATTAGCATATCCTTCTGACCCAGGATAATAAATTTGGGCGGTGGGGCTCAGTGAGTCCACAAATTCTTCTAGAGAGGGAGCCGATAACGGAGGTGTTGGTGAAACGAAGCTGACTGTAAAAGCAGTCCATGCCCACAAAAATCTGCACAGCATGCCTACCCGGGCAGAAGATTAAGCCGTAGAGAATGTGGATTTATGCTTCCGCCGCTTAAGAAACTTCTTTTGTTTTTTCTGTTTAATGGTGGGCGCTGTTGCCTTTCTTTATGTCGCCATTCGTATCCCCTTTTCAGAGCATCAGAGTAAAAAGAAACCATAGCTCATGTCTCCATCACTTTGGTACTCCTAATGCACGAATAGCAAGCTAGAGGAAAAAGCGTTTTTCTCGTGGCATTAAGAACGAAGATGAACCGCATAACCGTTCCCACTGCTTATCATAGATGCCGGGTGCACCGGATCGCTGCGGTGTTATAGCGCTAACACATGACTACAGCTATCAAACTCATTGCCGTTCGCCAGTGAAAGACTAGTGTTGGACTAAGAACATTCGATAGCGAGAGACTTTCCAAAATCATTGATGAGAGGGACGATCTCGAGTGAAGATCTCGAGTGAACGCTACTAGAACGATTGTCTGGTTCAATGCCAAGGATAAGCGAGAAGTAGCAGCATCTAGTACACATCCGGACCGTAAGTTAGAAAGCCACTGGCGAGCTGCGGTTCCGTAATGTTGATGTGGGGATCGCCTTGTTCTGACGAACTCTTATTTACGGCCCGATTACTTGCGCTACTTACTTGGAATGGGTAGAAGATCATCCTCACAGCCTGGGAACAAGAGACTCGGTTCTTTGTTCCATTCGTTTTTTTTTATCAAGCCACAGTAGTGGTGCTGGCTAGCAGGATGGCAAAGCTGAGGTAAACTGTCTTGGGCCGATGCGAACCTTGTGATAATAAAAAGGTTTTCAGTGTTTTTCTTCGGTTTGCCTCACTCTCGGGTGAAGCCTCGCTCCGATGTCTCAGAGCCCGTGCTGTTCGGAGCCACGCTATTGTCAGAGAAGCTTTATAGAAACCTTGAAAATCTCAGGTGATATTTTGGCTTACGGATTCATGATGTGATTGATTCTAAGCAATATTCTCTGCCGTCGTCAGTCGATATACATAGTATATCGTGATATACGCACATGGAAGTGTCTGAGATTGTAAACCTTATGGCCTCGAGAACGATACCATCCTTGTTGTGACAGGTTCGGAATATTTGCCAAAAGCCATGACATCCATACCGTGCATTGCCGATCCGGCTCGCTTCTAAACTCTCCGCTCCGAATGTCCATGCTTAGGGTTGGAGCTCTTGGTAGCGAGTCTGATCCCAGCTGCTGCTCTATCATCAAAATGATTGTGGTTGCTGTGTACGATACTCTTCTGGAATTGTATGCCCAAAATGAACCCGGATGTGGATCGCGCAGGGACATTGTCGCCGACCCCCCACGGGCCTAGCATTACGTATACTTACGTAGATTTGACCTTATTTAAGCGGCGAACGGCTTGCTACAGACCCTAGTTTTACGTGTCGCGCATTGAATACGAGATGGCAATGTAACAGCGGGCTCGTCCGTACCTGCTTCCGGCTTTCCTGCCTCGCAAGTTCCTTGTTATTTTCTTGTATACGGGGAATCTTCAGAACAAACCATTTCGCATTGCTACGCTGTCGCTCGCTCCTGGGCATAAGACGGACAGACAAGCCGGATGAGAATACCCGGACGAATGCCATTTGTTGCCCAAATCCACGCAAAGCCAGTGGACGATGTCGACACTCCGCCACGTAATACATTTATTGAGACACTGAGCTTTTCTCAACCCGTGTTATTGAGTTGAGGCCATTGGTCGGGGCGGGTCGTCCAAACTGACTCGTCCGATGCAGGTACGCACCACCACCGGTTTTGCCTTTCGGACCGAGAAGACAGAAAATGTTTAGGCGCTCTACGCCTACGGAAACAAGAATGGCGAAGGCGTGCATACTAGGCCTCTCCTGGATAACCAAGTGTGCCTTGGAAGTCGAGTATTCAATTGCCGAGCTGAAGAAACTGGCGTTCTTGTAAGAGCAAGTGAGCCGCGAGTTGCAAGGCATGTGCAAGCGTGCATGGGTGCATGTGGCCAGTGGGAAGATGGTGTCCGGGCGGAGGTAAGAGATAAGATACGGAATATCACATACATACAGCCGAGGGGTAAATGTCTGCAAATTATATTCTGATATTCCAAGCATAAGGGCGCTAGGAATGTTAAGCAAGGGGTTTTTTGGGGGTATACGTACATATATACTTGTTGCTTAATGTGAGCCCGTGGATTTGGTGGTGGTGATGATATTCGCTTCATACGCCCGTGCCTCGCCACCATGCGCTACGCATGGGTTACCATTCTACAGTCTCCATACGTCTTCATTGGCTGCTGTCGCGTCGCATGTGGAACTCGTCCTATGATCACCAATTCTCCTTTCTCATGCATGATAGCCATGTCCGCAGCCGGACGGACCCGTGGTCTGCATGCGTCGGGCTGCCTGCCGCCGCTGTCAAACTCCTGCCAAACCCATCCATCCTCTCGGTGCGTCTGTAGTCTGAGGATGCAGATCGGCTGACGGTAATTACGATCTACTTGAGGACCGTACCGGTAGGTGCTGCAATGTGAAACTTGGGGACACTAGCATTTCCTAGTCTGCCCATTATAAAAATGCGGAGCTCCTCCCGTAATCGGGACCCTTTGTGCCAGACGGTCCGTTTCCCCACTATAGTACTAGTCTGGGAACTAACGAACTAACCCCAGCGAACACACCACAAGTAAAGTCATTCACACAACGTGCTGCCCCCTTTACCGAGCGAACGAGGCTCCAAAATCAAGCGTAAACCCACACGCGCCACAGGCCGTACCTGCTCTCTTACTAGTTCCACCATCCTGGCACTTGACCGCCATTTTGATCATATCTCTTGCCCTGTTGTTGCATACTTACTACTTCACAAGTTCCCACCTCTCTTGCATAACCTTTCTACCATTGCTTTGGAAACTGCACATCGAAATAGCCCAAAAATGTCGAGAATTGCAGTTGTCTGGTCAGGCTTAACCGACGATGACGAGGAAGCGCAATCCTGGTACGAAAACAGGCATGTGCCTGCTACCATTGCGAAGCTTGAATCTTCAGCGCGCACCGCAGAGCAAACCCCCGAGAATCCGTTCCAAGAAGTGAAAGAGGTCAACGGCAAGCATATGACCATTTACGACTTGCCCGAGGAAGAGTCAATAGAAGATTTCGAGGCGAAGATTGGCCCGGCGTTGGGCGACGTTCCAGTCGGCGCACGCTTGAACACTCGGTCGTACAAAGAGTATGTCAAGGTTCACGGCGACGAATGGAGAGACGGTATGTTTGTCTCACGGGCTTGCCCACATAAAGCGATACTATGAAAGCTGACACCCTACAACAGATCCTCGCGATGTTCGAATGTGGGCTACTGTACTCTGGCAGCCAAAACCAGAAGTTTACGATGAATTCATAGAATGGTTCACAAATAGTTTCATCCCCGGAATGTTCGACAGCCCCGAATTACTGCGCGCGCGCGTATTTACGCTCGAGCATGCAACCAATATCCGAGCGCAAAAGTACGAAACAGTAGACAAAGACTCTCTCCTGGAATTCCTGACCATCTGGGAGTTTGAGACAGAGGAATTCCCATGGGAAGTCTTAATTTATCTGGGAAGTTCGGAGAAATGGCGATATTACATGGAAGGCGGGATGGTGGTATGTTGCATATGTACGGGAGATTGAAGATGCACAATTGCTAACGTCCTATTGCAGGATTGGGAGATTGCGCAATACATGGTAAAGAACAACTATCCTGGAACGGAGGAACAGGGAGATTCTGCGATAGCGAGCCCAGGAATGCCCTGCCCCTAGTCGCTAGAGAATCGTAAAACAAGCATTCTTGCGGAGGCTGATATTGCATAGGAATATAGGGACGGGGACGAGGACGACGAGGAAAGATATAGCGAGGACCAAAGCGGGGACGAGGACAGAGACAGCGAAGATCAAAATAGTGAGGACCAGAACAGGAACGAAGACAAGGACCATCGCAACGGCATACACCAGGACGATGACGAGGATAAGGACCATTGGCATGGCGTACATCATTTTAGCGAGGATGACGATATAGAAAGCGAACGAGGTTATACCGATCGATATGTGATAAGGTGACAAGCTGGATGAGCGGACCGGCTGCCTGAGGTCAGAGCTATAATCTTCTTCTTCCTTTCAGTACTATTATCTTTTCTGTGTATGTATACTTTGCGAGTTGGATGCATAGCGCGGTACATAACTGTCTAGTTCTTGAATATGTTCCTCCTGTTTGGAATTCGCGAAGGGGCACTGGGTATACCTGTTATTTTTGTGGAGCAGCCCCCCGTCTACTAGCATGTGTGTGCATCGATTCAGAGGGAAGGATTGGTGGCCTAGTACGATCGCCATATCTGGATGGGTAAAAGGTTCGATTTTGGATTGGCCTCGTTTCGGAAAATGTGGGTCTCAGATGAATGAGTTGGGTTGTGGCGATATGCTGCAGCTGTATCTTTTATTAATTTTGATTTCGGGTCGGAAGTGTTTGATTTTGACAACATTGAGTGATGTTGAACTCGTTTAGAAGTTCCCAAATGATGCTTAAGCCCGCCCTGGATGCATGATGACGGGCATTTGACGCACAGCGATCACTATGCAGCCACCCTGTGTGTGGCTCCACATTGCTTGTGTCGAACCGACGCCGAAAATGAGATTTGCAGACTCTTGAGCCGTCATACCGGGTTGGATAAATGAACAATCGGGCCCTTCCGAAAGAACGGGCCCATGTGACAGTTGGTATCCATCGCTACTTTCTTCCGTCTCAATATTGTTACAAGCTACAAGAGAACGAGCATCCGTACCAACAGTTTGGAGCGCCGGCTGCTTTAGTAACGTAGATCTTGCAGATTATTGACCAGGTCATTTTCCAGGAACAGGGGTTGGGTTCGACTGGGGGGTCTCTGGTTCACGTAGGGCGGGCGGTTCTTTTAGGTAAAGTCGTTTGCGGTATCCAAGATCCCTCTGCTGGTCTATGCCTTGAGTAGCTAGAACATGATTTTTACGTGTTTTTATGACACAATGCAGACCACACAGAATTTTTCGTGGAAGCTGGATCATTTTCGTTCTCTGACGCGGAGTAGACTCCCCGTTCAATGAGGTGCCAGGGGACTTCGCGAATGCTACAGAACCTGTCCCATACTGTTGTTTGAAATGCTTTTTTGACATGGCCTTGCTTTTCCCCAGCCCCTGTTCCGTCCAGGGTTTTTGAATCGTTCGCTTCAAACTTTAACCCCTTTCGTAATTTATCGTTTTCGGTACACCGATGAAGCTTGCTCTCTCGTAGTCATCAGTATCGGCACATTCCACATTCACGTAGTGATGTATTGTGTGCCCTACACAGGTTCTTGTCTCGTACCCAGCTTTGTAGACGAACAATCGAAATTTCTTCCTACTCTTGTGTCTCTTACATACGCAAAAAAATTGGTGGGTGTGCGGCATCAGTATCCGCAGGCTGTTTGGGATTTGGAAATAGAAAAGCTCTGAAAGTACTGCCCACGCCGCATTTGGCGAGAGCTTCGAACACTAAAGACATTTTGAGTGGATAAGAGCGAATGATAGTGATGTTAATATTATGAGGTTGCTCATCATGTAGATACCTGCTAACCTCCATAGGTTTTTGGTATACGCATGATTTCTGTAATCGTCACTGAAAATGCAAATGCGATCGTTTTTGTTGTAAGCCTGTGTGCGACAAGACCGTAAGAGAAAGTCCATATCTCGAAGGAAGCAACCGCTTTCTTGGTATATCAGGTTTCCTAGTGCTGTTCTCAGGTCAATACGACAACGAAAATTTACATACCGAAAGAAGACGACCGCATCGGCTTTTACATTCAATAGCGCCATAGCTTCATTGCTTGAGCCAATCAAGAGGCCTAATATAAGTGCACCCCATGAGGCTGTAGTGTTTCCTCGAAATGTCCCAACGAAAAATCGAGTGCAATGACTGAGGTGGAAGAGTCAAGTATAGGGGAAGTGCTTCAGGAGTGATGTTGTCGTTCCGTACGTTGATGCACCACCCCATACATCATAAAAAATCATGTTGACCTAATCCCTAGCGCCTGATAGGCCTGCTCCGATTTAAGGTTTTCAGGCCCATTCCAACAAGCGACGAAACCCGACTCAGTTTCGTGCTTACTGAGGCCAGTCCAGCAATGCATTTAAATGTGAGCATTACGAGGAACCTTGCTCTGACTATCGAAAAATTAATGGTTCTTCAGGAGTACGCAGATGGTTATGAAACCAACCCAGAAAAAAAAGACGTACGATCATTGACGTACCATTCTCAATGGCCAGGCGATATACTAGTCTTCAAATTGCAGTAGTATAAAATCGGATACAGTGTAGGATCATAAATTTACACCAACGAATAAAACCTCTCAGGGTCGGGCACATTAGCGCATTGAAATCAGCCCCCCACTTAGCTCAAAGCCTTTATGGCTCTCTCAGCAACGCAGTATTCGTGCATAGTTTCTTCATAACCAACATTTATGTTTAATGCAAGCCTCAGCAAACGAACAACAGTACTGACTGAGTAAAAAGCCCCAAATCATCATATGAGCAGATCTGATACTTTCAGCCTATCCAATTTCATCAAATGTCTACATTACTCCTCCGGATCCCGGCCGCCACGCTTCCTCATTTCCTCCAGGTACTCTTCTTCAGTCTCAAGATCGAATGGTACAGGCCTGGTGATGGGGTTGATTGAAGTGCCATGTTCTTCAAGCTGTTTAAGACGTCGAGCAGTTTCTGGCTTGGTAGTGTTGACGCTGTAGAGCTTGACGCGGCTATCGAACGTGTTAGTGTGATGATCTTGGAAACTAGCAACAAGGTTTCTGGAAGGACGGCTTACTGGCAGGAGGATGTCACATGAAGATCCCAATTCCTGTCCAAGGTTAGTGCGAATAGATAGAGGAAGACTAAGAAATGCTTACCATGCGCTTCGTACGAATGTTGGTTGGGTCTAGAGTTCATGTCAGTAAATGGTCTTTCCACAACAGCAGAACAAAACGCTATCAGAGATGGGTAGAGGCATATTTTTCGAATCACTTACGTTCAAAGCATCATCCCAACAACGCACACAAAACTCGCTGAGGGGTTATTAGTCTTAATTGCCAAAAAATATGATGATCGGAGAACGTACAGCCAACCCTCTGCATCCACAGGGACATCCATCCACCAGGTGCGCCAGGCGTGGAAGTACTTTTTGCTCAAGTTCTCATACGGCACTTCATACCAAACACCACCTCCATCGTTGCTGACTTCAACTCGCTCTGGCCAACCGCTGCCACTGTATGCCCAGCCAGTCATGCGGATCTTCCCGTCATGGACAATGACATCTTTATCAACCGGTGTCATGATAGCGCTGGAAACTGGCATAGTCTGGATGCTGAAGCCATTACTGTACGTCACGTTCTGCTTTCCTTTTTGAGGAGTGTAGTACAGATATTCCTTCATCTGTACTGGGGCTAGCGACGGGTTCTCTATGACGTTGATGCGTGTTAGCCATTTGCAGCTTCTTGCTCCAATGTACCCCATCACAACCGCACGGAGGGGTGCTCCGTGAATGGCAGGCAGTGGCTCCCCATTCATCTCCCATGCAAGAATGACCTCATTGATGTTGACCTTGCGGGTTGGTACCGACACAGCGTAGTTGTAAACCTGTCCCTTCTTGAAGTATGTGTCGGCACCAAAGAACTCTACATGCTTTCCCTCTGGTTTTATACCACAGTATCTAAGAACCTTCTTCAGACTGACACCAACATAGCGGGCGGTGCCAATAGCGCCCTCGCCCCAGGGTGCGTTGATGAGTTCATCGCCGTCTCCAGGATAGTCGTGAATTTGCTCGATACGACGTGTGCCACTGCATTGTAGGGTGACAACAGTACTCATGCGTGGAAATATGCTTTCGTCCTGAAGTTCCTTCAAGGTTATTTTCTTTGGTGTATCGACGAGACCTTCCACTTCAAAGAAGTACTTCTCGGGATCAATCTCAGGGACGCCACCGTGATTTCGGATGAAGTGGTCTTTGTTGTTGGTGATCTCGGTCTCGACTAATCGCTTTCGGGGCGGCTCGCCATTGTAAGGAAACTCCAAGACGTGCACCATGTCCTCGTTTTTTTCCTTCTTAACATAGTCCCATGAAATGGCTGGCAGGTCCTTTGTAGTCTTTCCTAGAGCATAATGGTAGTACTTCCAGCGTACACCCTCGAGCACAGGGTTGGTCTTGGGGAGTGGGAGCAGTTGGTACTCTGGCGGTACAGGGAAGTCGTATTTCGCTAGGATCTCTGCTGCCTTCTTCTTCTTCTCAGGGTATCTCTCCCATTCAATGTAACCCTTCCATCCTTCTCGCTCCTCGGGAAAGTCAGGTTCCTCAGATGTCAAAAGCACAAAAGGCTCTGCATGCGGTTCAGCAGGCGCCATTGTCAATGTAAAGGGTGTGAAGATGGTAACGTTCAGAGGTACCCAGTATTAGCCTGGGGAAACACCCACTAAGTACCGCGATAGTGATAGCCCCGCCAGCTTAAGTACCACATGTTACAATAACAGGTTAATTGCTCATTAAGCGTGGGGCATACCACTTTGTCACAGTGCTTGCTGCAGGTAATCCATGTATGGCGCTCGACTAGCAGATGGAATCTTTGCGCGAGCGAATCAGAAGTTCAATGACATTTGTAATGCGACATACGAAGCAGACTTTTGATATACGACTGCGTCACGATGATGGTTACTAGGATAGCTGTCGTGCAGGGGTTGAGCAATGTCAACCAAGGGTGCCAGTCTCTGTCAACCGAGTCAAGAGCGGAAGATATCTGAGAAGCATCCAATAGGCATGCCATTGTTGAACAAGAATCGACGAAGCTTGGCACAAAGTCTTGTACGCGTTAAGCGGGGAATAACTTCATGGGTAACTAATGACATGTATGACGTAGTTGCTTGACGCTGTGCAAATACTCTAGCAGGGAAGTCTGTCGCATCAGCGCGGAGGGAATGACGAAACAGGTCTAGAGGAGAAAAGGAGATAATCAAGAAACATCACGATGGCCGTTAGAGTTACGACGCATATGGAATGGCAGTGGAAGAATTGGCACGTCAATGTCTCCCCCACGTGTTTCTCGGCGACATGCATGACGCTAGTGCCGCTATGACTTCCTGTGAACATGGCCCGGCCGAAGGTTGAACACTGCGGCGCTTGCCGTCGAATACAATTCGAACAAGAACTCCAAATATGCGAAATACTAAACCTCAGAACATACTAGTGATTGCTCATAGCTTCTCTTCATGCTCAATGGTAGTTTCTATTGATCTTTCAAGGGTCGTTACTTGCATATCATTCTCCCGTTCTCTCAACTCATTTTACTGCAAGAAGGAATGAGTCTTCTCGTAATGGTCTCTACAAATTTCATGCTCCCGCAGAATTCCAAATGCTTATCAGACTTGGTATCGAGATAAGTCCCTTGAAATTACAGAGACAAAGCAGAGCAACCATGCCACACAGCCACGCACGCTAGCGCGTCCCTCTGAAGGTTAGATAGGGTGTCAAACCATTGCAATACGATGTAATACGATGCAATACGTCCATATGATCAAATGGAGCACTTGAATAAGAGCAGACACAGTGAAAGATGCTGCACATCTTCGTTTTGCTTTTCATCGAAAACCGATCAGTATCTACTAGAAGCCGTAGGCCACTGCGATCTTGCAAGCTATTCTATCAGGCCAACACAAGGCAAACTTCGAATTATCTCTCTCGATTCCTGCTCGTGTACTGCTTGTTCAGCTGGCATCTAAAAGAGGTATGCTCTATAGTTTTACAAAGGGCATCCCTTTCGGAACCGGACCGCGCATAGGTCCCTCATCCCGCAATGTGTCCAGTTTAGTGATTCTGCATACATTATCACGAACAAATCTGCAGTTTTACTGGCCCACGAGTCTCCAATATCAAATTATCACAGCCACTGAATCCAGGCATATAGCAAATCATGGCAAGTTACGAAGGTGAAGGATCAAGATTGGATATTTCAATAATCACACGTACATATCGTGCCAATTAGTATACGACAGATTAGTAGATTTGAAAGGTAGGATAGAGGCCACATGAGAGGCAGTGAAAACTAGAGAATCCCCATGATTCAGTTAAACCCCAATCACAGCATCGAAATCAAAAACCGTTGAGGATCTTGCTCACATTCATCACTCCCATGAGTGGGATGAACAGACAATCTACCGCATTCACCCGATCTCGTGACCACATGCATGGGATATGACCTCCATTTTCATCACTTCAAGGGCTTTCCTTTACAAGTGAAAGAACAGCAGATTGAGCGGTGTAAGACAAACATACCGTAGGAGCTACAACCTCACGAAATTTATAACTCCTTTACCGCTTCTTCTGCCCTACTCCTCCAACTAGGCTTACAACCTAAACCGCAAGCCCAATCCTCATAATTACACTATCTCACTTTTCAAGAAACCCCCCCCAAAAATACACAATAATGGCGGAGAACGCCCAAACCACCCTAATGCGTAAAGCAAGAACCTCATCTTCCTTCAATTCCTTCGACCTCACATGTATCCTCTGGGGCGGGTAAGTCTTCCCCCTCCCATCATTCCTCCACCCCAAATAAGAAAACAAAAAACTCCAACTAATCATCCAACCCTCCCTAGCCAATCCACCGTCCTCTCCCGCCGCCTAGCCTTCACGCGCGTCGAAAAAGCCCTCGGGACCCACGACACGGCTCTCCTCCCCCAATGCTATGCCCACACCTCGCGCGAAGCGCTCTTCGCCCAAGGTCTGGAAATGGGCAAGGTATGTTTGCAGGACATGAAGGAGTATGGACACGAGCATTTTGTGTGGGTTACGCCGAAATATCGGCTTGTTAATGCGAGGTATGTTCTTTCGTCTGTCTTATTTTTTGTTAAGATAGGAGAAGCAGGAAGGGGAGGAGGTGGAAAGAAAAGGTATGTAAGGGCGATACTGATGGAGATTTTAGTCCCTTCGGTCACAAAGCTATTCTCTTCGAACCAGCTGTGCAACACAATGGCACTGCGGAGCAACAAGCTCAATGGCTGCCGCTCGCGCGGGCGGGCAAGATTCTCGGGACGTATGCGCAGACGGAGTTGGGACATGGGTCGTTTGTGAGGGGTGTGGAGACGACGGCGACGTTTGATCAGGAGACAGATGAGTTCATTGTTGATTCTCCTACTATTTCTTCGACCAAGTTCTGGCCGGCGGGGTTGGGCTTTTCGACTACGCACGGGGCGGTGATGGCGCGGTTGATTGCTGGGGAGAAGGATCATGGGCCGCATATTTTTCTGGTGCAGTTGAGGCGGGTGGAGGATGGGAAGCCGATACCTGGGGTGGAAATGGGGGATGTGGGGCTGAAGATGGGGTGAGTAGGAGTTGGATTTTCTTTCGTATAGTGTTCTGGGGTATTAGGGAATGATGCTAACGAGATCACTTGAACACAGGTACAATGAAGCGGACAACGGGTTCGCATCGTTCGACCACGTTCGAATCCCCCGGTCGCATATGCTCATGGCTCATAGCCAACTTGCACGCGATGGTACGTTTACCAAGGATCCGCTGCGCGCAAAACTATCATACTCAGTCATGTTGCTCGTCCGTGGCAAGATGCCTGGTGCCTTTGCCGTACAACTTGCACAAGCACTGACAATCGCAACACGGTATTCTGTTGTGCGGCAACAGGGGCTCGGTCCAGCAGATGGACTGGACGATGAAGCCACTATCATGCAATACAAACACCAACACTTTCGTTTGCTCAGTCTCATTGCAAAGGCATATGCAATGTTCTTTGCATCGCGTGCCTGTGAGACTCAGTATGACAAGCTGCGGGAGATGCAGGAGAAAAACGATCATTCTCTCCTCCCATCTGTACACGCACTGATTGCGGGTCTGAAAGCATACGTCACTTCAGAAGCTGCTGATGGCGCCGAAGATGCCCGCAAGATGTGTGGTGGGCATGGGTACATGGCTATCTCGGGTCTTCCAGATATTGTTGGCGCTATTGTTGGGGGCTCCACATTCGAGGGCGAGAACTACGTGCTGTGGCAGCAGGTTGGTCGGCATTTGCTCAAGCAGCTGGATCGCCTGCAAGACAGCGACACAATGGAGCCGCAGATGCAGTATTTGGCTGATCTGGATGATTCCAATGCAGCTTGTCCGGCGCAGGGTGAGCAATTCCTCATGCACGGGGTTCAGCTTGCTGTGTTTCGTCATCGTGCGCAGCGTCTGGCCACCAAGGCACATGCGGAGATTCGAGCCTCGAGTAAGACACCGGCAGAGGCTTGGAACAAACATATGATGCTGCTTATTTCAGCGTCGCGGGCGCACATTGAGTACTTTACTCTGCGTTCCTTTGTCGATGCTATCTCACAGTTGCCTGATAGCACATCTGCAAACCTCCGTAAGGTCTTAGGGCGCGTATGTTCGCTCTTTGCGCTCTCTACAATCATCAACCCGCGCTCTGTGGATGCACTGTCTTTCATCGTAACTTGCGATGATCGACCGCCGTATCTTTCGCCCCCTCAACTCGATATCATCCGCTCACTTGTCAACGACCTGCTTGACCAGCTTCTACCCGAAGCCATTGCACTGACAGACGCCTGGGACTTTTCCGACGCCAGTCTGTGCAGTGTGATCGGGATGTATGATGGTAACGTATACGAGAACATTATGCGCTGGGTAAAGCAACTGCCGGTCAACCAAGACGCGTGGCAAAACGGGGGTGTTCAACAGGGTTGGAGGGAATGTGTCGATCCAATTTTACGAGGCATCAAAACCCGGGCAAAATTGTAGGATTACAAGCCGGAAATGGAGTTTTTGTCTTCTCTGTTGAATGTGTACTCGAGGAGCACTGTCTCAATGTCATTAGAGTTAATAAAGTCCGAGGTAATTTAATCTAACCGAATACTACTAGGGTAAGCGGGGCACAGCAATTATTATTCCTAAATGTAATAACATGAAGAGAGTGAACCTAGGTGTGTATTATACCATATGTACATTGAATACCAACAGAGAACTAGGAAGAATAAAACAGTGTGGTTGATATTGAGAGCCATCTTTGCCAGTCGTATGAAAATGGTGTGTTTCCCCTTGGTTTTGAGTTGGTGGGACGCAACACTTCATCAATGAATGCTTCCGGAATGAAATTGCGCATCTCGCTTGCTATTGCTTCGTAGTTTCTTTCTTTGTTCCTCGTTAGACCAAAATGACGAAACTGGTCGTCTCTGGATAAGGGAAAGAGGAAAAGTTGCACTAATCAACTGTCCTATTCTAGGATCTACAAGACTCTCATGAGACTGTGATAGTGCTGCTTTTGGCCAATCTGCTTGTACTAAGACAGATGGAGTTCAAAGCGAAAGTGGCGATGTATGGAGCGTGTATACACAATTGCTTGGTAAGAGGGTATGAAAGTCGCTCCGTGCGTAGGAAAGACAGACAACAGTGAGATGTTTGCTTGATGAACGAGGTCGAATTACTGCATGACGCCCTTGGCTGGATTTGCCCACAATGCATGCAAGTACTCAGCTCATGGTGCAATGTTCGTATTGTAAAGCCGTCTGGAGCAAAGTCATGACGCTGGCGGCGTTACTAGTCCAGTGCACTTGTTGGCTTGGGTAACAGTTTCCTCCTCTATCCGCCTCGTCTTTGCGCCAATTGCACCGCCAGGGTGATTCCGTCTGAAAACAATCTTGGTATCCTCTTGGTGCATTGCTTCAGCGATTGTCAGTGCAAGCATGTCACCGACCGCAATTGTCACGGTTGTGCTGGTGGTTGGCGCACAAACGCCAAAGGACACCTCCTCTAGCTCGTGGATGGGCGCAGGCAGTAGTATCGAGCGTGGTCTGCCTCGAAGGAGCGGACATTCCGAGGGCTTAGTATGTGATGTAATGGCAAGGATGGGTGTGTGGGACGGTATGTGATCCAGAAGAGCGACCAGCTCCGCAGTCTTTCCAGAGTAGGAGATGAACATGACGGCATCATTCTAATCACAAGTCAATTATAGGCGGACTTTTTTGTAGGAGGGGCTCCAACTTACCTTCCTGATGTCGCCGAGGTCTCCATGCAATGCCTCAGCGGCATGCATGAAGGAACTCGCAATTCCTAGGCTCTTCATGGTTGCGACAATTTTGCGCCCTACAAGGCCGCTTTTCCCAACACCACAAACTATGAGTTTGCCTCCTGCCTCGCTGTTCTTTGTAATGACTTCAACGGCCTGAAGCAGGCCATGGCGGGCTACATGGTCCGACTGGTACAAGAAAGTAACTTGTGACAGGGCACTGGCGGCGGTTGAAAGAACGTGGACGGCACGCGACAGAAGATGGGTTCCTTTGGGATCGTCGGCCGACAGTGGCGGGGTCAGAGGTTGTGCGTCAGAGGGGGCACGCTTGCGCTTTAGGGATACGGGAGAGGGGGAGGGAGAGGAAGCGGGAGAGGGAGAGGCAGAGTCAGAGGAGGAGAGTGGTGGGGTATCAGCGAGAGGCTCTGCCATGATGTCGTGAGGAATGCGGGACGGGGGCAGACGCAGGGTCGCTGTATATCAACACCGGCTGGCGATCTTTGCAACACGTCTACACATATACGATCTGTCTTTTAGTCTCGCTCGGGCAGCCCCGGAAACAGCGTCGCATTGAGTAGGCGTAATGCACCCGTCTAAAGAAGCGACGCGACGCGATGCCATGGCCTGGCATGCGCCGACTGATTTGCAATCCAGCCCACATCCCTGCATGACGCCGCACGGAAACGTTGCCATTCGGCTGGGTAAGCATAGTGCGTGCCCGTCTTACAAGCATCAGCCGGACTCCGGTTGCGATCCAGGATGGTGATGGTGAAAAATGCATTGCGACATTGGCGCTAACCCATCGACTTGCATGTGCAAAGGGCCCGGCTCTAGGCCTCATCTAGCTACATCCCCTGCCATGATTCAAGCCCAACCGTCGTCGCACGTTTCTTGCACTACAGCCCTCGATCGTTGGCCGCAATCGTCCATGGGTGCTTGTGGGTAGTTACATGCGCCACGGGCATCCGCCCTGCCCTGCGCCCGGCCCTGCTTTACAATGGGGGCCCCGCGGATGCCGCCTCGAAGAGTGCCGTTCGCCGCGCGCCCATACACGTTAAACCCACCTCCCCGCCATCCAACTTGGCCATGCCCAGTTCCTTTCTGTACAGTGCCTGTGCCTGCTCGCTGCCCGTCAGGAGCACCATGAACCGGAGGTCTTCCATATCCATGCAAATCTCGCGACAGCACCTGATAAGCCACTTGCCCGCCCCTTGGCCTTGGTGTTCGGGAATGAGGTATACATCGGTTAGGTAGGCGAGCGTCGTGTAGTCGGTTATCATGCGTGCCATGCCCACGGCCGTTTTGGTTCCATTCGAGACCACGAAGACACCGAGCGTGAGGCTGTTATCGAGCAACGTCGTCAGCTTTGCAGGCGCGAGAGGCTTTGCCCAAAACACGGCGTCTGTCGCATATGCCTCTTGGACAAAGCTATGCGGAAGAAGCGACCGATCCGAGGAAATGAGGTAGGTTCGCGTCCCAATTGCACGTTCCCATTGGAAAATTTTCTCGTCCATCTTTTCGATATGTGAGGCCAAACTTGCAGCCATAGGTGAAGACGGGTGATCTCTCCCTCCTAATACTCCGAGGGATGTTGAGTCATACTCTGCTCAACCTGCCGGCTCTTATACTTTGGCGATAGGTACTCATGAATTCACGCCCTAGACGCCATGTCACCACCTTGTTGCAGGTTTGACCCCAGAAAATATCCAATGGCTATTCGTCCCGCTCTCAGCCGTGACTCTACAACATGTCCGAGTGCCGAGTGCAGTTAGCAGATCGTCTCCTCTGGGTATACTTTCCATCTCGAGAAGGAGGGGCTGCAAGCTCCCAAAAATCACATACCTGTGTTGACTCGCAGTCTATGTCTGCCGTTCGTTTGTTAGGCTGGAAAGTCAACAGCAATTTGTGTGGAGAAGTGCGTGTTTTACCAACAGACATTATGATAGCAAGATATTGTTTCTTGAACTCCGCCGACAGCTACGTACGCAGTACGCTCTCGTTGTGGCGTCCACGCGTGTTCACGTGGTCAGGCGCTGACGCTAGTAAGACATTCATTACGTTCGCACCTGCCATACCATTGCCATGAAGCTCGCATCTCCCTGGACATTCATCGTCGTAACAATTCTCGTTAGTGAGCGCATCACCAAGTGCCAGTACACGATATATGTTCAATCATCGCTACTGAATGTGCCACAAGCGCTGCGGGCTGTGGATGAACGTCGCATGCGCCATCGGCCCGTCCTGCCTTCCCCAGCTGCTACTCGATAGGAGAGCATGCAGAGATCAGATAATGAACGGCCCACATCTACTTGAATCCAACCCGCTATTGTTCCATGTATATACCAACGGACCTGGTGTTTGTCTGAATCTTATTAGCTTTACAAGGCAAGCATCGAGGCAAAGCCCAAAAGTCCAAGCGGTATTTCGGTGGACAGGGGACTGCAATCCTATCAAGCAGCTACTAGACGCTAAGGTGTGGCGTCATTCTAGGGCAACAGCACCTCATCATTCCTTCATCGTATATCACGCTTTGTCACCCTCGCAACCAATCTATCGGCTAGCACTGTACACAGCATCATCGCCGTACCCACTGGAAAACAGCAATCCAGTTTCATTTTTGATTAATTTCTTTCATGATCTAGTATGGTATCTATTATTTATTCCAAAGCTGAACGCAGCTTAGATGGAGATCCACCGTCCCATCCACGTGTCAACGATTTGCTTCGCCTCATCTACAAGACCCATATCCAACAGCAGCTGAGCAGTTCCACGCACAGCCGAGTCGAGAGCCGAAAAGATCCAAGCATGGGTATAGCTTGTGTGCTCGCCTAGAGAGCTACAGTCAGTCTTTATCTAAAAAAAAATCCCAGTTCTACTTACCAACGAAAATGGACTTCAATTCGGTCTTGTAGTAGGCAGGCAGGAAGAGATCTTGTTGGCCAATAGTAGGAGAAGCCCAGGCACCGGCCTGGTGTTCGTCGGTTTCCCAGCACTGGCGGTCGTACGCGCCAGTCCATTGTTCATTAGCTACCTCACCATGTATTTCGACCATGGCGCGTTGGACCATAGCAACGTGGTCCTCTTCACTAAGGGCACCTACGGAGCGGGCCAGAGTACCAGAGATGTATGAGCCCAAGATGACACCAGGACCGGTCGAGTTGATCTGATAAGAAGGGTAGCAGACACTGCCAATGCCTGAAATATCAACCGAACCACATCCTCCAATAATCGGGGGCGAAAGCTTCTCCCAGAAGCGTGTCTTGTAGTGCAGAGAAACCTTGCACGACTGCTGGTAGTTCATCTCGTTGATGGCACGAGACAAGAGGGATGAGTATTGGGGAAGATCCCAGATCCTGACCTTTGAGAAAGGAACAGCTACGACAGCGTAGTCATACTCTTCGCTCTCTGGCTTCATTGCAAAGGGGTCCTTGCGCCACTCAACAGAAATCTTGTCCGTTTCTTCATCGTACTTCAGTCCGGTGACTTTGCGGCCGAGGGTCAAACGGTCCTTGACGTGTGGGTAAAAAGCGCGAGGAAGCGACTCTAGACCCTTATCGATGGTCCGCCACGTTGTTGCACCAAAATATGCGGTATCATATTCCCAGATGGGACCATTTGAACCACCGGTAATGTAGTCAACTACATCAGCACTCTGGTTAAGCGCATATTTGACATACGCGGCTTCTGACCAATGAAACAAGCCCTTCTCAACGGCGTGCTTGTGGGCCTTGTAAACATTTGTGTGCATCTCACGTACGACATCTGGCGTAGTGGCCACAAATTTTTCCAACTCTTCGGTAGCGTGCTCAACAGCCTCCTCATCTGGACCCTCGGGCTTTGGAAGACTGTATGCAGTGGCATTACTCCTGAGCATTGCAGCGCTGGGGACGCGTCCATTGGGAAGGCGGTAACCATTCGAGTCACCCGGCACGTTCGGGCTCGATTGTATCCACGGAATGAAGTTGACAGCAAGCTCGCTAGTAGGACCACCGTTCATTTGGGTCAGAACATCTCCAAGTTGGAAAACCATCTTGTGATCCTGAATATCCAGCGTCTCGTTTGTTTCTGGATAGCGAGTTGATACTGGGAAGCGCATGGGACCCATCTCCTGGTACTGGTATTCGTCAGGTTTGCTTCCGGCCAAATACTTAGTTCGAATACGACCTCCAATACGTTCGGAAGATTCGATAATGTGCCAATCGTGGATGCCGACCGACTCGAGTAGATGACTTGTGAGCAATCCCGACATGCCTCCACCGACAATGGCAATTCGCTTGCTCTTCTCCATCGCAACATAGGAAGCATTGTTCTGCTTGCTCTTCATGTAGGCTACACCATCGAACCAAGGTCCCATGGTGTCAGCGACCTCGGAAATATCCTCCCTCTTCCTTGGCTGATGCTTGACGGAGATCGGGGCTGAGCGTCCGATGAGTCTGGATCCCGAATACGCATGGAGACAACCTCTATGGATAGCATTCTCTGGTACAATCCACACAAAGCGTTCTGGGCGGGCCGATCGCTTGATGTAATGCGAGGCAACATCGTGATGTCTCTGTCCGTGGCTCTTCATTCCGCATTCACCGTAGACCAGACGAACTTCACCCTCGAAATCGTCATCATTGAAGTCAACGTGGACATTGTGTACTGAGTCTGAGTTAACCTCAATGGGTTTGAAGAAAAGGATGTCTGAACGAGGGGCCACTGGGCTGGCAATGGCACCGCCTGCCAAGGACAAGGCTGCCGAAGAGGCTGTGATGAGACCCTTCATTTTGGCTTTGAACAAGTATCGATGTAGAAGAAAGATACTTCATGGTAAAGGAAATATCCGGCTTCAAATACCTTTTCCTTGCTGATGCTAAGGCAGGCTCGTCCGTACGACATTACCCATGTTGAAAATTCACGTTGGTCACCAATGTCTTATCATTATAGGGCGTATCGTATAGGGCGCGCCAACACTCATCCGAAGATTAGTCCTGGCCGTTCACTGTATATTGCTGCAAAGAATGTCAACCGGCGCAGCTGCGATAAGGGCACCATGGCGTCGCCAGCCGTAAGATTTGACAAGTGGGCTTGCAGGATGGGGTTTTCCACACGTCAAGATTCCCGTTACAGGTTACTCGCAACATGGACTCGAAGCGAGATGCAGTAGTCTAGCGTATTGCAGGTATTAGTGTGGAGACGCATCTCATGGATAGGATCGGCACTTGGGGCGGGAAAGCTCTTTACACTCCGAGAGATAACGAATATCAACATCGGATCCATTCCGACGGAGATATGGAATCCTTGTAGGCTTTTGAATAAGCTTTTTTTTCTCAAAAAATTGCTCGTACAACCCCAAGATACGACATCAATTCATTGCAACGGTAGCGGCCGTCAAACAAACATAGAATGCAGCAGAGGGATTGCGACATTGCACAATCGGATATTGGCTTGGGTAAACACCATGCTTACAGCATCTGACAGTAAGAATGCTGTTCGGACTCCGCAAATGCCATGCTGTACCAACAGGCTTAGTCTTCCTCCGAGCGTTTGGTATAGTTGCGGGAGCGCCGTCGAGCCCGTGGCCCGCGATTTGAATGACCCGGATGACCCGAGAACCGCCAAAGGACAGAAGTGACGTTTGTACGGAAATATTGTCAAAGGATTGCTGGGCGAGGCTTCGGCCGTCGAGAATGGAGTTGGATCCTAGGACAGCAGCGAATCACGAACCGAACAGCAAGCCATGTTGATCCACAAGTGGATCCCGGAGATATCGATAACCCATCTCGTGTGGTTTAGAGAAGTGGCTCTTATCTAAGATTCAGCGTCCTTTATCTTGGATTACGTTAGAGTCATGAACTGTTTTCCATCAGGCGTGATACACGCGCGGTAGTACAACGCGAGGTTTCTTGGCGCCAAGCTCGAGTGCATCTTCCACAATCATTCCTGTCATAGCCCATCACACCCTACTCCACAAAAGAACGAATCGCAGTCTCCTTCCGTTTTAGGAGATATCTGTATACATATCTCCAGCTTTTCATTGCCCCACGTGTAGTGACCCGAGGTTCAAAATAGCCCTGCTCATTCGACCGCCACCAAGCCATGTCGTCCTGATGGGGTCCCTCGGGCCTTGAGCCGACGGGCAGGCTGAAAACAATTACGAATGGAATGGACAGTATGTTTTGTGAGGGCGTGATACCAGCCAGACAGCCAAGTATGGATTCTGATTGTATTCCTTGCCGACGACGGCAACGAGGGTTATCTAGCACACGAAGGCTCGCAGCTCTTGGAAGCCATGGCATTCGGTCGAATACGGACGTTAGCTCTGAATAGTTATTCTAAAGCATCACTGAGAAAATGATTGTCAACATGTATATAACTACGGGGCGGTAGTACATATCTCAAGTACCGCGCAGCAATTTTCCTCGGCTTACTCTATATCCACGAGCATTGCATCCAAACTTCGACATACAAACGCAATCATGGTATCCTTTCGCTCTATCTTTACTACCTTTTTGGTGGTAGCCGGTGCTGCCATGGCTACACCCTCACCCAAACTCGCTCAGCAACCCGTAGTCACCTACCTCGGCACCCAAGGACCAATCTTGTGTATGTAACCCTCATTTCCCCAAGCACATCTTTCCATACTAATCCACTCCCAGCAAGCGGCGCATGGACTTCCAAGGGAATAGTGTACACATCCGGCACCGTACCCTCTCTCAATGGAACAATCGTCCCCGGCGGCATCAAAGCCCAAACGGTAAACTCAACACCCCCATTCTCAACTTCCCCCCTTTTTTTCTGCACCCATGTTTCCACCTCCCACTTACTTACACGAAGTCTCATTTAGGCCCAAGTCATCAAGAACATTGCAGCTGTTCTCGAAGAAGCCGGTACATCGTGGGACTATGTCATGAAGACTACTGTTTTCCTGGCAAACATGTCCGACTACACTGCCATGAACGAGGTGTATGCTGCTATGCTTCCCAGTCCGAAGCCTGCCCGTACGGCGGTGGAGGTGGGCAAGTTGCCGGGAAACTTTTTGATCGAGGTTGAGGCTATTGCGGCGATTCCTGATTCATGAACGGGGCTGTAAGAAGACGTGGTGAGGGGGAGATATGCGAAGTCTTGGATATGAGATTTGCAAAATAAAAAGATTATTAATGTTTAGATGATTTCAAGATGGTCTAGTCATCATGCAACTGAGGTCTTGTTGAAGCGATATATTCAGTGCTAATTTTAGGTCTGGTTAGCATGAGGGGTTTCCTTTTGCGGCTTTCGTTGTCACAATTTCTAATGTAGAAGCTTACCCGACAGGTAGAATGGTTGCAGGCAATCCAAGAAGCAGGTCAGTTTCTTTGCTGCCTAGATTGTTTCACATGAGTGAGATTTCATGGATATTTATCGTATTGTCGCAAGTGTGGAATAGCACTCACAGTGCGGGGAAGTCTCCGGGCCTATTTGCGCTTGCTACTAGCTAGCCAGCTAGATTGCCGCCAATGACGTTCACTACTGCGGGGTCACACTACCCCAACTTGAGCGGTATGTAACAAAGACGCGCAACCAAAAAAACACCCCGAGTCAACATTCGGAAAGCCCAGGATTGCCAATGACCCGAGGAGCGCTTGCGCAATGCCCGAACTATACGATCACGATGGCAAGCCCGTAAAGCACCATATGGCACGGGTAAACGGGATTCGGATACACTACATCACATCTGGATCCGGGCCGCCGTTACTCCTGCTCCACGGCACGCCCAAGACGCACTACTACTGGTATCGGATCCTGCCACTGCTAACACCTCACTTTACGATTGTCGCGCCGGACCTGCGGGGCTTCGGCGCGACAGACAAGCCGCCGGCGAGCGAAGGCTACGATGGGCGGACAAACGCCAAAGACATGATTGGCATCATGGACGGGCTGGAATTCCAGACGTTTGCCGTGCACGGCGAGGACCGCGGCGCTACGTACGCCTTTTGTCTCGCAGGCCTGTATCCCACGCGCGTGACGCACCTGTCGTTTTGCGAGATGCTCTTGTCGTCGGCACTAACGCAGGCGTCGTTCTTCACGCGCGACAACATTGCTGCGCAGTACAATCAGACGGGCGTGTGGAACTGGCATATCCCCTTTTTCTGGCTCCCGCACGTGCCCGAGATGCTGATTCAGGGCAAGGAAGAAGAGTTTTGGACCCATTTTATGAGGAGTGAGTGTTGTAATCCTTGTGCGTTGGACCAAGCGGCTGTGGATGAGTGGGTGAGGTGTGCGAAGGCGCCTGGGGGGACGAGGGGGATACTGGAGAGTTATCGGAGTCATTGGATGAATCTGGAGATTGAAGAGGAGATTTTGAGTAAGGGGAAGTTGAAGTGTAAGGTTATGACTGTTGGGGCGCTTGAGTAAGTTTTCTTTTTTTGAGAATTGGGGGAGGGGGGAGGGTGTTGGTTTGAAGGGTTGTGGGTGCCAAAAGTGCTAATATTGGAGACAGATTTTTTGGGCCGCGTGTGGAACAGCAGATGAAGTCTGTGGCGGAGAAGGGCGAGATTGCTGAGATTTTTGAGTGTGGGCATTCGTTGGCGATTGAGCAGCCTGAGCGATTGGCGAATCTTTTGATCAGGCTTGTTCATTGATGTTGGACAGGCTGCAAAGAAGATGGGTGGTAATGCTCACTCGATTAAAGAGTCAGTGTGTGAGTCAAGTTCAAATTTCAGCGTTATGAATAAGTGGTAGAGGAAGATATCAGCAGAGGCACAAGGCTCCAATGTTGGCCGACTCTTGACAAGCCTTGTTTTTCATATAGCTCTAGTTGAAGGAAGGGTACATTGGTGGGTAGAAGCCCCACTTGCCATGCCACTGACGTCAAGTAAAGAGTCATGTCTGTTGGTCACTGGAAAGAAATATGGATATGTGTGTGTGAAACGAGAGTCCAAGAAGAGTATCTGACCTGCTTGTAACGAATCAGGTGACTGTAAAGCAGCCATGGGCTAGTGAGTCACGAAGCTGGGAGCATGGTGTGTGAGGACCCACCACGTCAAGGCATACACACACGGGGTGACGATGTTGCAACAAGAGACCACATATCCCATATGCCATGGGAGAGATTACGAGAGGTGGAAAGCAAGCCGGCATTTCAGCCGAATAGCGAGGTGGGCGGATACAGCATGTAGATTGCAGCGATATTCGAGACATGCAGGGTGTCTTATCGATTGCTTAGCGCCGGCAGGACTTGGCATCCGGCAAACGTCACCTCGCAACCCGGGCCATGGTTCTCTCCTCTCCTCTTGTCCCCAATCGCGGCTCTTTGGAAGCAAATGTGTCGGTTGACCCCAGCAACACCTGGATGCTGCCTGTCCACACCCTACAAACAGGCCCCGGTCACGTGAATCCTGATCGTGTGACGCGTTTCGTCACGTTCATGACCACAGTGGTCACGTCTCAGCATGCCGCCTCCAAAGGGGCGTCCGCCATCTATTCGCTCGTGGTCCATCCACCGAACAGGCTGGACGTCATTTGGGAAATACAGATGGGCAACTACTATATTCCCGTCGCCAAAAGCATGCGCGGAGCGACTTCGGACAGTGGCCTGTACAGGGGCTTGCTCAACCACAGCGAGGCTTCGTTTCTCTGAACGTCACTATAGTACCATGGTTCCCGCCATGTACGCCACTTGCACTGTTCATACACAATGCTGCTTGCGGCAACTTGTCGCTGTAAACGCACCATGCTGGATTCTCCTATCCAGGCGGCCTGTAGGAGCGAGGCTAATACCTGCGAGGTCTGGCCAAGCTGCAGTCAGATGCATGGCTGTGCCGTGCTTATTGGCGTACCTGCGGCGTTTTGGCCTCTTCCGCCGGGGCGCCACATTGTGCTAAGAGGATGGCCATCATTGTATTCAAGACTGTGACAGAACAGAACCAAGGTTGTATCTGCGCGAAATCACACAACGTGTGTGTGCCCAGGTGAATATATCAAGGCCCGTCCCGTGGTTCAGGCGGCTTGGCAAGAGCTCTCCCCCCTTTGAATTGTTGCGCGAAATTAATGTTCATGTGGGCACGCTAACGTGGATCAAACTCCGGGCCTTCGGCCTTCTGCCACACAGGTCCTCGTATACCTCCATCTCTCTTGCATCTCCTCTCGACACTTGTTCCATCATCCACACACACACACCCCTCTGCACATGCTGCTTGTACATATTGTGAAGCAGTTTCCTGTCGACGTCTCACCCCAAATAGTTTTCAACTTGCTCTCGCCCTGCTGCCTCCTGTTACACGTCCCGTAGCGTTCCTGGCATTAGCTCGCGCCTTCACCCTGGTTGCATACTACCCGCCTGGACCCCGCCTCACCCCACCTGAAAGCCTACCATCACCTTTGGCACAACCAACACCAACACCACCATATAAGCATATCTGCCCTCTGGCCATCGCCTTCAACAGCCATGGCGGAGTTTAATGATATGCCAGCAGAGATACGCAACATGGTTTACGAGTCACTACTTTCCCAGTCGCAATCCCAAAACACCGTTGAGCCTCTCCGCAGCAATAACGCATTCTCCCTGTTCACTGTTTCCAAGCAAATCCACGACGAAACAACATCTTACTTTTATCAAAACAACAATATCAACATTTACACGCCAGCGCGGACGACTGAGACTGCTACAATTATCCCTCCCATCCCCGATAGGTATCTTCGGTTTCTCGGCCGCGTCAGGGTGCTGGCCACAATCGCCACTGCAGGGTCAAGTACACACACCAAGGTAGCCGGCACCATCGCATCCCTAGCGACTATCGGCGCAAAGTTCGAAGATGTCCACATCTTCATCAATTCCTCGCTCTCTCGGCTGGTTAATAAAATGGCCGATGACTCGATCCTGGACGCCAATCACCCAATCACCGTTGCCTTGCAGAAGTTACTCGACTCGGGTGTCGCTAAGGTTGTGCGTCTTTCTCTCCCTGGCGCTTGGCTTACCCCCAGTGTCACTCAGCATCTCAAGAGCCAGTATGGAGATCGTGTTCTCTTCATTGGTCCAGATGGATTACCCTGTGATGCGACATGTGTCGAGAAGTCAAAGACCGGTGTCCATGTAACCAGGCACATGGCTACACTAGGCGTTGACCAAGAAGCCATGGAGCACGCCTATTCTAACGACAAAGACGAACTTGACCAAACAACTCCTTCCTCTATAGCATCATCATTCGGCTCAGCGTTGGCAGATCTGGATACGTTCTCCGTCACAAGATACGAGACCAGCCCCGAAGATACTAAGAACGATGACTCAACGGGTGACTCTGCAGGTGGCGACTCTTTCTTCTCCGAAGCCGAGCTTGAAGAGTGGGCAACTTCTGGTGAAGATGATGGGCAAGAGGAGTCGTCACAACCCGAGGACATGGATGTCGACGACGAGGAGCTTGACGAAGAGCTTGACGACATGTCCAACGATGGTTTTGATACCATCATGGGTAACATGGACGATGTGGCGCATCACATTGCGAACGAGGCGGATATCACGTACCTGGTCAATTTTGCACCGGATTTGCTCCTGGCTGGACATAATCTTGATCATTTGATGTAAGTGTCGGCATGACTTGAAGTCGTATCGCACTTGCCAAAGGTGAACTATATTTGATGGCTTTGTGTATATATCACGGCCATTATTGGTTACTTTCTTACTACGGTTCTTTTTATTACAGACTCTATCTGGTCTTCACGGCATTTTCGGCATTTTCGGCGTCTGGCGATTATCCCACATTGGATACCCCAACGTCTTCGGTTTCTTTTCTTCATTGGGCGCACTGGTAAACGCAACGCAGCGTTCATGGTGGGCGATAAAAGGATTCGCGGATCAAAACTAGAGTCTGGCATATGTTGTTCTTATAAATCGTCCTTGGATAGGCGAACATTATCATCACTGCGGTTTGGTTTCATTTTTACAGCTATTGCTGGCAGCATTACGATACACGACACAGATTATTACATAGTCCAAAATAGATGGGGGGGGGGCAGTCAAATACTGGTGTTTTTGCCAATGAGTCCTTTTTTGCTGCTAGTTTTGATCCAACTTGAGTGTGTGTATTTCTTCGTCGGCGTTTAGTCGTACGTGCAACACTAATCGAATCCAAAATAAAGTATTGAATTGGGAATGGTACGAGTTTCCATGCAGTGTTCACCGGATGTGTCAACATCACACTGTAATAATCACGTGACATTTGCTGGAAATAATTGCCTACTACGACATCCTATTTTAGCAACAGTACGTACCATACGAAGACTATTAAGGCCACCATCATCCATCCTATAAATACATATTCCCATTGCATTTTTGGACCCTAGATATGCTTACTCACCAAGTTGAATCGCTCCAAGTTCCAGGCTAAAGAAAATGTAGCAGGCACAAAGGCATTGAGCTGAGCATCCCTTGCTGGCTTGTCTCAGCAACGACGACTATCCATCTGGACAAGTCTCAGGTCAAGAAGAAGCACGGATCGTCGATTGGTTGCTCAAGGCCGTTGCCAAGGCCTAAGCGACGTGTTCTGTGGCAAAAGGACTCGACTTGCCCTTGGCGGGGGTTCTGGCTTCTGGCTTCCGGCTTAGCCTACATGGGTGAAGGTACATGTATGTAAGCAGGAACCATGTCGTGAACTCATGGTGCCGGCTCGACTGGACGGGGTGTGGTTTTCTTCTTCTTCAATGAGTATCCCATGGCCTTTCAGATGGACGTGGAATGGGTTTTCGGCGGTTGCTAAATCTGGCATGAGGCAATGCATGGTGAGTGCGATGTAATAGTACAAGGATTTTCTCAAGACAATGGCTGGTTGCTTGAAGAAGACAAGGCCAAAAGGCGCTTTGTTTCTACTTCTCCAAGACTAATGGCCTGAAATAGATAGGAACTGTCAACATCCGGTGTTTGGAGAAGATACGATTGATCAGAAATATTGCTTGGATTCCCCAATATCGCCATTTCTAGTGGCTGTGCTCCACATCAGCCACACGAGAGTACATCATCATCAACAACAACAACAACAACAACAACAACAATATTGCCGGGACAGGCCACCGCATGGACACGGAATGAGTACCATGAATCGCAGTGTCGAAATCGCTTCACAGTTTGCTGTTCGGTGATTTTTCGCCACCATAGTCCGATGAGGTCTATTTTAGAATCTGAGTACCCGTGGAGCTAGTCACCACAAGTTACCATTGTAGCGTCGGACAAGCTGCTTTTGTCAAGCGAGCCATTACTAGCCAAAGATGCACACTACTCAACAAAAGCGTGGACAAGAAAGAATAGCGCAAACTAACACTGGACAAGACAATGGCATTGTGGGAAAGTCGGCGCAGGATTAATCTACCTATCAATCTCGGACGAAGAAACATGGCTTATCAGGGGCCAAGGGTAGGAAGGATTTATGGGGCAGATGGTTGAGTTGGGGAGGGGAGATTACTGCATCGGCCCAAGCGTCGCCGCAAATTGGACCCTTGGGGTCACCAACGTTATTCACGTCCCCGGCCCACGCTGTCGTTGATTGATCGGGATGCTCTCGCCCCCGTGCCGTGGCGGCATGAAGAGTATGTAGAATGACGCGCACCCGACTGCTTGCGTCGGCTTGTCCGGCCACGGCTACCCATCCGCCCCCCGTCGAGTTGGGATTCCCAGGCGCCCGTGACGAACCAGTGGCTAGCGTCGGGCGGACTGATGATTTGCCACTAACGACTACTCTCGTCTTGCTGGCACGTTATGTATGGATCTGGACTAGAAGGCGCCTGGAATCGGTGCAGATCGGAAAGGCTTAGGGTCCGTCTGGCTGCGTCCTGCCCGTAAAAAGTCCAAGGTCCGCCAAGCGCAATCTCTCTGGTGATCCATGCCACCTCCTGCGCGCCTTGGCTTCGGCTGACGCCCTTCTTCTTTTTAAGCTGCGCTGATCCCCACGTCCTGCCACAGGACGCCACAAGCCCCCCTTTCGCCGTCACGACTCTTTTTCCCGCCCTGTGTCGCTCCTGCGCATCTCCCTCCCGCTTCTGGTCCTACGTCTACTCTGCCCGTCATGATGTTGCCTGCAATGGGCGGTCGGAGCCCGCTCTTTACCCTCTCCGTGAGCGCTGGCTGTGTCATAGTTTTTATCTTTGCCTTCATGGCATGGCAGAGCCCGCCTCGCATGGTCTTTACCCACGGTGCGGGCAATACCGCTATGTACGTTCTTCTCCATCGCGTCGCACATGGGACGAAAGGACCCTGAAAGCTACTCTCTCCTCTCTTTTCCAGACGAAGCTAACGACCATCTTCGCAGTGCCGCTGCAAACGCCCACTCTGATGTATCCATCAGTGAAGTCATACGGTTACTTTACAAGGACCTCAAGACTGCGCCCACTGCGCCCTATATTCGCGAACCAAACGGTACCCGCATCACTTTGCCACCCAACCCGCGCTACACGAAGAACTTGGGCAGTGATGTCCTAATCCTGGATTTGGAAACAAGACCGCTGCCCTCTACCGATGCATACCGCAAGGGCCAATATGACTGGCGAAACATCAACCACGTTTCTGGCGGTGTTTTCAACCACTACACATATGCATTGGTCCATGGCTACGACTACAAGTTCATTCACGCAAGCGAATTTGAAGACCGTCACGCTACTTGGATCAAGCCGTCTGCGCTCGCAAACCACATCAAGGACTACAAGTTCATTGTTTTCCTCGACGCCGACGCCGCATTCCGCTTCTTGCACGTCCCAATCGAGTGGATGCTCAACTACTGGGACATCCAGCCGCAACACTCTTTTGTAATGGCAAAGGATCCCTGGACTGCCAAGGAGCCACAGTACAACTCTGATCGCTTCAACCGCACCTACACCAACACTGGCTTCATGATTGTGCAAAACAACAAAGACACCATGCCTATCCTCAAGGCATGGCACGAGTGCCCTGACGATACGCGCTACGCAAACTGCTCGCAATGGAAGCAGCCGCGCTTCCACGAACAATCTGCCTTTGGCGAATACATCCGCTACGACTATGAGGACAACATCAAGGAACTGGAATGTGCCGAAGCAAACGGTTTCCCCGGCGTAGAAATTAGCAACTGCCAGGGCAAGTTCATCCGCCACTACTGGTTCGACAAGAGCAACGTCAAGATTGATTTCCGCGAAAACATTATGAACGCCATTACTCTTCCGATACAAAAAGTCTTTGCGGAGAATGTCGGCGGTGTCATACAAGAGCAGAAAGAGAACGTAATATTGTCATAGCATCATTCAGCCTCTGAAAGAAAGAACGAAGACAACAGGAGAAGCAATGTTTAATGACATAGAAGAAGGGTTTATTGCATAGCATAGCGTTGCATCAACGAGGCGTTCATTGGGAGCTCTGGGATTTACTTTTTGGATTTGGGCTGGAGGGGGTTTGAAGTGGCTTCGTAATGCCAACCAGTGTTTCGACGGTTCTTTTGCGCTTTTCCACCCCGGGTCTTCGGATGCGATGATACCCAGCAAAGTACGAGTTTTGAAAACCACTAAACAACTATAATCAACTTACTACTTTTCTTTCCAACAACGTCACATCTTTTGCGACTTTTATCATCAGGTTTCTTCTTCGCTACATATATTCCTTGTGGCAAGCCAGCTCATCATCTGCTTTTGGTTTTACGCGTGTTCAGGGTCTTGGGGTCATATGACACTGCCGTCGCATCCGGTTCTCCCTAGTCACCTTCCCCTCTCAGCGCCTGATTCCTTTGTTTGGCTTCGCAGTTATTCAACAATCGAACCGATCCAACCACAAAAGACGAAAAGTATCCACTGGAAACAATGTTACACATGCGCTGTAGTAACCAACCTTCGCCCTCCCCCCCTCCCCCACAATCTGGGGATTTCTCATCAGGCCACCCCAACACATTGTATACCAACCACCCTCTTTTTTTTTTGGCCCCGCCAAGAACCGCTAGAATTCGAGCTTACCGTCATTGATCGGCGAGGGCTGACATGTGTCTTGCCCGTTGAGGTTGATACCAAAGGTTGGGGGAGTGGGAGTAGGCTTGTTGATGCGGGCAACCCCCCCCCCCCCCCCCAANCCCCCCCTCCCAAAAAAAAGAAATATTAACGGGAAGGACGGAGGGAGGGGGTTCTTGGAATCTTTTATGTATGGGCGGGGAGCGTGAGGGCCCGATCGGTTGAATTGGTACAAACGTTGGATTTCTTTTTGTTTTTTTCTGGGGGTTGTTTCCCAAGGGCGACGGCGGCGGTGGCCCCGTATTTCTCTCTCCAGCTCAGGAAGTTTGGGAAGTCTGATCTCTGGATACGAAGGTGGTGTGTTTCTCTCTCGTTTGGGTATTTCGTGTTACTTTCCGATCGTACTATCCCAATCGTACCATGCCAATCGTATTCTTCCGTCTTCTCACCCGTAAGCGAGATTGTTGAATCTTGCGGCGAGCGAGTGAAGCGGGAGAGAACATTGCTTGGAGCTGAACTTGCCATGTTAAGGTTTTCAAAAGCCATTTTATTAGAGAGGGCCAACGTTTGTTGCGCCAGCGTATTTAGGTCATCTTGAAAAGTGACATTTGCGCTTACGGTGTTTTGCAGGGGGTTGGGTGGTGTGAATACAAAAGTATAGTTCCCGCCTCCCCCACCTCAGCCTCACTCCAAATTCCGCTTAATTCTGCAAGCCAAAATCCACACAACAGACTTCTTGTTTTGTTGACATGATCTATCGCTCTACTCGATGATTTTTTTAATCGTACGAGCATCCCGTGCTAAAGTACTCTTAATCTTACGGTCATACATATTGTTCTAGTTCGCATATGCATCCAAGATTTACCAGAACCCAGTCACGCTTACTGTGCTGTCTTAATCTACGCATGGTATAGATCATCACCCCCCAACATTGTCCCCAACCAGCTTACTCTGACACTGTCAGGAATCTAATATACAAGGGGATGATAGAAAGAGCAAAAGAGAATTTTCGAGGACATCATCACATCAAATTAAACCATTGTCGTATTCCACTTTTTTTCTTTTTCTGTCTGAGCAGTTAGCGGAAAACAAGGGCGCGGAACAAAGCCGTTTGAATCTCTCCCCCCTTCTCATTCCTGACATTAGAGATTTTTTTACTCTTACTTCCCTTACTTACTATTCTAACTTAATAACGCCGACCGCCCTCTTTTTACCCAACAAAAGTCTAGACTTTCAAAACTGACAAACATCGCAAGCTACATGATATCCTAACCAGGGTTCTAACTGCGTATAGTAGTGGTGGTAGTTTACTTACAGAACCCTCAACAGCTTTTTTTTTCCCCAATCTCAAACATCGTTGCATACCTCAACAACGACAACAACCCCTCACCCCCGCCCATCTCTCTCTCTCTCTCTTGCTGCACCTCGCTGCATCTCTCTCCGCTCACGCAAAGTCAAGTCCGCAAGTATAAAACGCAGACGGACCGAAAAAAACAAGCATCATTACTCCCCGCATTAGTGCCTCAGATCATGATGTCAAATGTTCCAGCCCTTCTTCTCCCCCCTTGTCCCTCTTCCCCCCCCCCCCAAAAAAAAACAGAGTGGGCAAGGTAAGGGTAAAAAGTAAGCCCGACCGTGTCTCCGACATTTTTCCCTCCTTCCATATCCCTTGCTTTGTCCTTTGCACAGCCACAAGGGGAGAAAGGGTAAGTAACGAGGCACGAGCACGAATCCCTCCCCCCACTTCGGACAAGGTACCGTTGTTTTTTTTTGTGGGGGGGGGGGGGGCAAGGCTGATTAAGTAAGCATGCGGGATTTTCGGTGGCGGGTTGGTTACATGAAACGGTTGTAGTAGGATTGCGGATATGAGCAGTGGGGTTCGTTTTTTGGGGGGGTAGGTGTTCTGGAAGCAAGGTGCAAGGTGCAAAAGTAGGTAAGTTGGAGGGTATAATGGTGGTTTGTTAAGGTCGTTATCGTGGTTGAGGCTTCCCAGTGGACGGGGGGCAGGGATGCTTTGTAGATTGCAGTACGAGGGGTTGCTTTGAAGGGCATGTTTGTGTCGCAAATTGGTCCTTGTTTTGGGTGTCAGGCTCTTTTTTTTTTGCTATGTGCTCCGTTTACAACATGTCATTTTGGTATCTGCGTTGCTCCTCTTTCTTCTTCCAAGACATTTGTCGAATAGAATAACCCCCCTTCCCCCTCAAACCCCCCAGACAACGAGATTTACGAGCCCTCATTTCTTTCGCATCCTTGTGCTTTCTCATCCTTCCGGTCGTCTTGTTCTTCTTTCATTTTGATTGATTTGTCATGAGATTCGTTCTCCTGTAATTATTTCCCTGCTGGTTGGGTTCCGGTCTCAGTAGCTTCGGAGCAAGAGCGATTAGAGGAAACTTGGTCGTCACCGCAATCAAAACAATCTTGGACTCGGTAGGTTTAGTGATGGAAATGGTCTCGTACGAAGGTCGCTGTTGACGTTCCTTAGTCATAGCACAACTCTCAGTCATGGAGTTTCACATGTGCAAGAGCGGTTTCTATCTATCCCCACATCGGATAATATCCCCGTCAGTTAGCGGAACAAGTCTCTACCGCACCCTGGCTCGTCACTTCAACCTTGTCGAAGCGAAGTGCGTGTAATTGACAACCCTGCTTCCGAGTTTGGCGCTAACAGAGTAAGGCCGTAGTATCACACGCCTGGCCAACTTGCTTCTTGTGTGATGTTATCAGGGGTTGGTATATGTGCCGTGGCAACTCACAACACCAAAGTTATGTATACAGATTGCATCGTGCTGTGTATTATTACTTTATTATGAGACAACTTGAACTTTTTATGCCTGGGCTTTCATTGCCCGGCTATTTTAAGACTCCTGGTGATGAGCACTCAATGCTGCACATCAGTCACTCTAGAACATTTCGCGAATATTGACTAACAGATTCCGCCCAATGACATTATGAAGCACACGATCGTCAGCTCTTTTTCCTCATCAAGTCCAGCACTATTGGCTTTTCACCATCGCCTCTTGACTCTCATTGCCAATCTCCGTGATCCCTTCGACTCCATACTTGCGGTTGCCAGTCAGTCTGTTTGACGAAAGACGCTTCATGAAGATCGGATCGCTACGGGATCCTTCGCGCTGGTTACGTGGCGTTTTTCCGGTCGACTGCCCGTTGCTTCTTCCTACGTAATGCGATATCTTAGGCATGAATCTTGAGATGAGGATCTTGAAGGTCGATGCGCAGCTGCATATGATTCCTATACAGAGGCCTTTGGTTAGCCTCTGTTTGTGCTACCGAAGGGATTAGGGGGTGTAGATCCTGAATCTTCTTACCGATGTATATCTCGATACTGTACCAGTTGAAAGAGTCGGCCATGTAGTAGTAAACGTCGTCGACTTTGTTGACGAGAAAAAGAACGTAGTAGAAGCGCACGCAGCCAGCTGTTCTAGGTTAGCACTTTGGCTATCAATATATGGTGATTTGCACATACCTGCCACTGCTATGAGTCCGACACCAAGAAGAGCGGCTAGCGCAAACTTTTGTGCTCGTGGCATTTGCAAGTTGGACACGATCAATACCGGAACCAGGTATATAGCAAGATCTTGCATGATGCTAAAAAGCCGTTGTGTCAGTGTCTTTCTTTTTCTCAGCAATGATATTACAGTTTGACATACTTCATGACGTTGTTGATGTTAAAGAAGATTTGGCGCGTAGTCGGCGACATACACTTCTCTGGATTCTTCGCCTGTGCTGCCAGATCCCAGAAGACCGACGTCGGTATGCATGTCAATACAAAGGAGAAGAATGTCATAATGGATAGTGCGAGAACCCAGGCCATGAGGAAGTACACAATCAACCTGGTTCTTCGCCGTGGATCAAGTCTTTGGTAAAATACCAAGATACTGAACTTGACAAGGCAGCTGGCAAATACATAGAGAATGCGCGTCGCGAGGTTTGCTTTGAGCATAGGCGTATAGTCTTGAGGGCGAATGTCGCGTGCTAGTCGCAGTGTTAGCTTGTTGCCCATCAGAGTGTACTAGGTGTATGGACCGATTTACTGCGCTCGCCTGTGCCATACCACCCGCCTGTTTCTCGTCAACATGAGTTCAATGTGGAATTTGGGGTCCGGTGTGAATCGCGGACATACTAATCATGTTGGTAATCGAAAGCATGTTTGTGCAGAAAGCACCCGCCGCCATTAAGTCTATCACGGTCAGGACTGCTAGAGTCGATAAAACTTCATGTAGGTTGCCGAACTCACAATCATCTGTCGCCAATCGTAGCCCCAGTAAACGTGTTCGCACATATATTCGAAGAGATACAACAAAAATTGTGACGATGATAAAGGAAATGCCGACTGCGAAAAGAGACGCTTGTTTAGAGCCTTTCTGCCAATCCCGCGCATGTAGGGAGCGCAGAGTCTCCTGCAAAAGAGCCATGTCGAACGCGATCACGTCTCGGACAGCAAAGTTATAAGTAAGTTATGTGATAGGACGCGCACATTTGTGACCACGCCTCTTCTCCCCACCACGATACGAGGAGAGAGAGAAAAAAGAACCTTTGACGATCAGCCAGCAGGCGAGCAGGCGAACTCTCCAATCAACATGATAACGCATTCGGGCCGTACACACAGGCTTCAAACCCGCTAGTCTCATACCCATGACAATCACCTGTCACGTTTCGGGCCAATGCACCTATTTTCCAAGTCATTTTCCTTATTCACTCCAATCTTCTCTCTTGAAAATAATGATTTTCTCGAAAATACATCGAGCTTATGGATACCATCCCTGTCGAGTATGGGAATTTCCACGTCTCGGAAGTGCAGGTAGGCGGTGTAAATCATGCTCCAAGCTTCTTGTCTTCTCAGTTTATGCCCGATCTTGGCAACGGACAAATACGCCCTTGTGGGCCTTAAGGTGTTACTCGCCAATAGGAGCTCAACCCCATATCCCTGTTACGGCGTGGCCTAGCGCGGCTAAGTTGCATTATCATGGATCTACGTAAGTAAAAAGCAGTTCGATACGACAGGGATCGGATAACCTGTTATAGGAGAGTTTTAGAAGGGGCGTTGAAATCATTACAGCCCCCCTCGCTGTACACTCACCCGGCTGACCTTTTCAGGAAGCCCGAAAGAAGGAGGCGGCGTAGTTATGCTGGATCAAAGTAACCACAACACTGATTGTTGCTTTGTCGATACGCCGTTGACGCCGGGTGAGAATCACTGCCTGGTGTGTCTACAGTGAGCGTTACGAGGCTGACAGAAAGCTAATCAGGTATCGGATAAAGCCGTTTACATCTTATCGAGGGACAACGCAAAGCATAAGATTCAGAATGTTTTGAACTCTCTCGATGCATGATTCACGACAAAGCATGCAAGAATCTGGGACCAGGGTTATATGACTACCCCAGCACGTCGAAAGACATGGGCCTTTCGGGAATAAAAGAAGACAGATCAGGTTTTCTTAAATTCCGGTAAGCTGACACAGACATGCCCCATTCCTACCTATCACCTTAGAAAACAGAGGCGACAGAAAAACGAACGATACAATGTTAGATTCTCGCAATAAGCTGCCATTTCTAGGCACACAAAATGCTCGCTATAGCATATCCCTCCCTGGGACCGCAACGCACGGTTTCACCGCCCTTTGGCCCTCGATCGACACGTGCAAGATGGTGGCTCTTGAGCGGTATATGGTGGGATGCCTAAGTCTCCAGACAGAAAATAGACATGAAGAGGCGACTTTTGGGCATACATGGCATGCCACTAGTACCAACGCCCTGAGAGCTGAGCCTCCAACTGTGTCAACTAGGGTCTAGTCATTACGACCTAATTTCCATCTCGTCTCGAGCACTCCAACTGCGGTGTGACGTCGGCACAAGCGAATACGCCGAGAAGAAAAGATGAAAGCAAAAGGGCACATAACGTCACTGTACCCTGCATTCTGAGGGAGAGAAAAATGATAAAGCAGTTGCTATGCTCAAAAGCCTAACGATTTCGCAGATGCTACCGCAAAAAAACAAATCAACCTATAAGATCATACCTGACATTTCACTATTATTCCTCGTACCACCACCGTCATACCTCAGCTCCACACACTATTTCCCCGAAACCACCAATCACAAGCATAACTCACCCCCAAAGCTTATTTTTCCTACGCTCGATATCGCCTGTATACATCCGCGGCAAGTAAGCGAGATGGGATCAAGAAAAAAAGGAGGTATATTCCAGACGAGCCAATCGGAAAACAGAAACAACGTGATTTTTTTCTCAACATCGTTTTGAAGGATGTGATTCATCGGAGAGACATGTGATGGCCAGCCATAGGGCAGCCACTAGTAAAATAACATTGCGGGGCAAAAATGACAAAAGGGTGTGTGTAAATTTGTGTTGAGATTGACATAGGTTCTAGAGTCTGTACTTTGACTTTTGAAGATAGACATGCAAGTGCTGGGTTTCGGGAATGGGGGGCGTGTGTGTGTGTGTGTGTGTGTGTGTGTGTGTGCGCTGATCTATGATCTACGTGATTTACTCGAAACGACAATCATGGTTCGCGATGCCAAGTCTGACCAACATACAGCAAAATGGTACATATTTTTCTTGATTGTGGACGAGTCCAGCTTGTGCGTACTACTTTATTGTGGGATAGAAAGAAAAAGCAAAAATCTACAGGCAAGTATCCGGACGCTCCAACTTAGGGTGGAATCCAGCAACGCTATTCCTTTCCGTCAGCCTTGTGCAAGGCCCAGAATTTTCAGCTTTTCCTTTGCAAACCCCATAGTTAATTAAAAGCCAGAACACCAAAGGCACAGGCCAGTGGAATCAATAGCCAAAACAGGAAGTCACGATGTAAATGGTTCTCGACTTCCTCCCCATTCTAATCTTAGTCACCCGTTCTACATACATAGATCAGCCAATCAGAGGAATCGGAATCGACTCATTCTGTCTCAATCTCCGCGCGTTTTTATCATACCAGCTTCGCTAAAACAAAATACACCAAGGAGATATATCCCAATATGATATAAATGAACTGAAGGAATGCCGTTGCAAAAACAAGAGTCATAGACGACATTAACATCCCCAGTAATCGAGTCAATCAGCGCAAGGCACAAAGCAAGGTTTACTTGGCACGCAGACAGCTGGCTGGTGATAAAAACGAAGCATGGTGAGAAAAGCTAAAGAAGTGGTGGCGGCAGCGGGAGCGGAAGGACATCCGTGTGGAAGTCATATCACAGTCACAGCGCAGCAATCACGATATGCACTGGATGCGCTTGACGCGCCTGCTTCGAAAGAGGTACGTTAATATACCAACTTCTAATACGTCAGTACAAGGAACAAGGATCGTCAGCTCATATAGTTCGTGTGTAGATTCTCGTCAAGGACCTGAGTATTGCAGTTGGGAACCGAGAACTAGTCTCACGGACGACCCTGCACCTGGTAGAAGCGCGCCACTACGTGCTAGTCGGACGGAACGGAACGGGCAAGTCGACATTGCTCACAGCCATTGCCGACGGGTTGGTCCCGGGTATTCCTTCCAGTACGCGCATCCTGCTCTTGGGTCAGACGGGTGGTCCAGGGCTCGGGCGGGTGACGGACGGGGAGAGGCTAGAGAACGAGACTGTATTGCAACATGTGGTCCGAAGCGACCGGGTCCGGGAACGCTATGTGCAAGAAGCCATGACACTTAGCAACGCGGTTGAGAACTCTATTGACCCCATTGCGCCAGTCCGGGCGTACAGACGCATTGGCCATGCTAGGCTGGGTTTGCAATTAAGAGAAGGGCAACTAATTGCGGAGAGAAGGAGTGGCGCCCGGGGGAAGCAGGCAAGAAAGGAACTTGTCAAGCTTGAAGAGCTATTTCAAGAGTCTGAGAAGCGTTTGGCAGAAAGTGAAGGAGATATTGATCCCAAGACGCTGAGCGAAGAGACTCAGGCTGCTATGAATATGCTCTCTGAAGTGCAGACTTCACTGGATCTCATGGACGCAAACGCTGCAGAGTCCAAGGCTCGGATGGTGCTACTCGGCCTTGGATTCAAGGACAATCGTATTGATGGTCCGACGTCAGAGCTATCCGGAGGTTGGAGGACACGCTGTGAACTCGCCTGCGCACTAACACAGTACGCGGATGTGCTATTGTTAGATGAGCCTACCAACTTTCTCGACTTGCCATCGATCATATGGCTACAGGGGTATATTCACAATCTTAAAAATACGACAGTCCTGATCACGACACACGATCGTGACTTCGGAGATGCAGTAGCTGAAGAGCTCCTCGTCCTGCGCAATCAGCAACTCGAGACTTTCCGTGGCAATCTAAGCCTATATGAGCGGGAGCGATGGAAGAAATTTCGGTACTTGACCAAGATGAAGGAGGCGCAGGACAAGCAAAAAAAGCACATGGAAAAGACCATCGCAGGCAATATCAGAGCAGCTAAGGACAAGGGAGACGATAAAAAACTCAAACAGGCCGCATCCCGGAGGAAGAAACTGGACGACCGAATGGGAATGCAGGTCAGTGCCAAAGGTGGTCGGTTCAAGCTCAACCGTGACCTTGCAGGTTATCATACGTCGTGCCGTGGGGAGATTGAGATACCAGACTTCGATGCCCCAATAGAGCTGTCATTTCCGTGTCAGCCACCCGACCTGCCCTTCCCAGGCGCACTGGTAAACCTGGACAAAGTGTCGTTCGCATACCCCACGAGCAGGAAGGCGCCAATTTTAAGGGATGTTAGCTTGACGATACACGCCGGGGCACGTGTTGGACTGGCTGGTCTCAACGGGTCTGGAAAAACGACGTTGGTGTCACTGATCATGGGCAGCAATGGAGATGGACTCGTGCCAACGTCAGGAAGCATTACGCGGCATGCAAGGGCGAGAGTTGGTCGCTTCTCGCAGCAGTCGGTGGAAGAGATTACCGCAATAGCGTCCGCGGATCCTCAGCTAACCGCCCTCGGACATGTAATGAATTCGGTCGGTGATGATGTGCAGGAAAAGGATGTGCGAGGGGTTCTAGGGGGTCTGGGTCTGCACGGCCATACAGTATCAGACGTGCCACTAGTGTTGCTGTCGGGAGGGCAAAAGGTTCGGGTTGCGCTGGCCAAGTTGCTGTGGCCGCCGCCGCATCTGCTGATTCTGGACGAGGTAACGACGCACCTGGACGGAGATACAATCATGGGCCTGGTGCTAGCGTTGAAGGGGTATAATGGGGCGTTATTGGTGGTGAGCCACGATCGATTCTTCATGAGGTACGTGATAGCCCGAGCTGGACGTCTCGACGACGCTGGAAATAGTCATAACAAGGTTCAACTATTGACCGCCCCACAGAACCGCCGTGGAGGGAGAGTGGCTGTACAAGCTAGCGCCAGGGGTTCGCAGGCCCGAGGGCGAGGCTGGCGGCGACGAGAGCGACTCAGACGACGAGGCAGAGACAGGGGTCGCTCCGGGAACCGTTTTTCGGCTGTGCAAAGGGCAGGTCCAGAGGCTAGCAGGCGGTATGGATGAGTATGAGGAGATTGCGGCACGAACGGCAGGCCGGCTAGGCAGGGCGGCGTTGGCGTGAAGGTGGTGGTTGGCCAGGGCGATGGCGGGCGAGGAGGGTGATGGTGATGGTGATGATGATGATGATTTGATGGCGGCAGTGGTGGTGGAGCTGCTCCCTTCTTGATGATGACGATGAGGAGAGACACGCGTGTACCGTCCCCACGACGCAGCCAACCACCATGCTCACGGCGCAACGACGCAAAAGTGCCGACCCCGTCGTGGCATTTCAACTCGCCTCGACGTCGTCTGACAGACGCCAGGGCCAGCAGCTTCGGGCGGGCTTGCTTCCCGCTGTACGCACAGGCGGCTTGGCGGCATCTGCGCGCGCATCACAGTGCGCGCGAGGAGGTTTAGGGGCAGCTTTTCACGCCAAGCAGCCAAAGTAATATTGCTCTCACGCGTCGCTCTCTTCGACTGCAGCGTCCAATTGGTCTTCACTCATTTGCCATTGGCGTGCACTATGCCCATTTTCCTTACTCTGCCCCCTCTACCCCTCTGCCCGTCGTAATAATAATAATGGCATAGCTAGCCCGTGGCCCTTAATCCTCCGACCGCCGTGCATGAAGGACATTTCATTTTGAACTAAGCTCGAGCCTGGGAACCCTGAAGACCGGTCGGAGTCTGCGACCAACACCATGGGCGAACCCGAACCATCCTCGCCGCCTCGCTCTGCTACTGAACCGCAGCTCAAGGCTGCAAAAGACAAGAACTGCCCCTTTTGCGGCCAGGCATTCACCTCCTCCAGCCTTGGACGCCACCTCGACCTCTACATCCGAGCCAAGAACCCAAAGGCCCCAGACGGCATCCATGTCGTCGATGAAATCCGTAAGCTGCGCGGCGGCATCACCAGGCGCCAGGCAAAGGGCAGCGTCTCCACTCCAAGGCGCGATGAGAGCGGCGCGAGCACCCCCGCTACCAAGAAACGCATAGCCAGCGAAGACTCGTCCATGCTCATGCAGAGCCCCGATGACGACGACGACTCGCTCGAAGTTGGCAAATCCAGAGCTGCCTTCAAGGACGTGACTTGGGGTGGTGGAAACCGCCCCTCGCGCCTCCTGACCAAGACACCAGACCCCCGCCGAGATGCATCCCGTCAGCTGCGAAAGGCAGACCTCGACCAGAGGCAGAAGACGAGCGAAGAAGTCGAAATTGCGGCTGCCACCGAGATGGCGCTGCGGGAGCTGTTGAAGAGCGTGCGTGAAGCAAAGTAAGCCTATCATCCCACCCAAACTCAACCCACCCACCATCACCTTTGTTTGCTCCATTCTAACAGACACAGTGCAAAAGCATCGGGCATCGGCCTCTTCGACTTCGATCCCTACGCCCAAAATTTTCCTTCGCTGTGCCTTCACATCCTCCCCGCACCCTCAACTCTCTTCTCCCCCACGCCTTTTCCGACTGCCGAGTCATGGTCCATCGCCCCGCCCGGGCAGAAGCAGTTTGAAGCGCTGAATAAGCAAGTGCGTGAGCGCCTGCTTGCCTACCAGCGCCAGCGACACCTCAATCAAGTGTTTCCCTCCGGCACCTCCAACCCCAATGCTCCTTCCTCAGCTACTTCCTCGCCCCTTCCCACCCCACCCCTCTTCGACCATGACCCCCAACGACTCTTTGGCCACATTGCGGATGCCCACCACCACTGGAGCCAGCATTCCGACCAGACGAGACAGGATTACTGGCAGATTGAAATTCTACGCTGCTATGCCCGTGCTGATGACCGACGACGAGAGGCTGAAGTCCAGCTAGAGAACGCCCGCAGAGAGAATGAATATCTCAAAGCTAGCCGCTGGTCGTCCGGTGGCCCCGACATGTCACCCATCAGTATCAATCTGGGCGTCGATACGACCAAGGAGCTTGCAAAGCACGGCATGGACTACCGCAACTGGGACTATGACCGCCTGATTGACAAATGGCGAACAGCTATACGTGAAAACAGGGTGTCTGTTTCGGGACTAGCTGCTCAGAAGCCATTGCCCGGCGACGCCAGTTCACGTAGCTCCATGGCCAGCCACACGGCACAGGTATACGCTACTGTTAATCAGCCCAGACAGGGCAGTCCGGTCAAGGCGGAGACTAGTATGCCTTTTAGCGCGCCAGCGACAGTCAATGGCGATGTTGGCAGCGATCAAGTTGACGCAGAAGGCGATGATGACGATGGAATCGATCTCACCCCGCACACGAACGACGAGGAAGACGCCCTGCACCACCTCCATCACCAGACACATCGACAATCAGTTCACCAGTCCCAGCCTCAGCACCATCACACGACGCCCCTCCAGCCCACACCGCCACACCACCAACAACAGTTTCAATCACACATGCAGACGACCCAGCATATCACGCAAGCCCAAATCGCCCAGGCCCAGGCTCAAGCCCAAGCATGGGCAGCAGCTCGCCAGCACATGAACCAGTCACGGAATCAAGACTTTCACCCACATCAGCAACACCAACTCTCGCCCCATCTGCAACATGTCAGCTCAGCCGACAGTAGCCGACGCGAGTCGCTGGCCATGATGGATCCGCACAACCTTAACCAAAGCAACATGGGCGGTATGAGCGGTTCCATGGGTATGCCAGCTGGTATGGATGGTCTCGACAACCACCAAGACCAGTTTTTGCGCCTCGACATGGGTATGCAAACAGGCTTCGTCGGCTCCAACGATGGCGGTGTGTCCATGGGTTCATAAGACGTCCCTCCCGCCAAGACTGTCTATATCAAAAGGACATGTTTTCGCAAAGGGGTAGCATGATTGATGGTCATGTCTATTCAACAATGTTGGCCTTTTTTTCCTTTGTTGTCAATTTCCTTTGTTCACATTTCGAATTTCCTTTCTCTGTTTCTTCAGCTTGGCCCCACCGTGCGCATATTCATATACCCGGCCTTGTCATTTGATACCCATCTTTGATCACCTGTATACTCTTTACCTAATACTTGTACATTTCACACTGAGAATGTCGTTTTCCTTTGTAGATTCTACATGCCTTCGTTGGCAAAACACTTGGGAGGCCATCTTGCTCATCATTTGTATATACCCTTTTATAAAATTACATCTCCTTAGATATTAGATAAATTGGCGGTGCCCGGGGAAAGAACTGGACAGGCTACATACATAATCAATACAAAACTCGGAAAATCAATTCAAGGCTTCGGTCATTAGCATGATGTTACCTGACGGCGTGAGACTGGGTGCATCATGCGGATTTGGTCTGTGTGGCGTAAATCTACCAGGGTGCGAACAGGGTGCCCAAGCCTCGTTTTATATATAACGACTCATTCTTGTTGAACGCAGGTTGTAACAAAGATCCAAGGAATTCCGTGCTGTTGAAACTGGCCTGTGTGTCGTATCTTACCAGATCATCTGACAAGTGAGGGAGGATAAAGTCATGGGTTGCCTCCCGTAGGAGGCAACCTAGTGTGTAAGGAGATATGTGTGGATGAATGAATACAGGTTGTTCGGGCAAATGAATTTCCATCTCAACATATCAATTCGCTCCATGAGTTACCACTTTTGTTTAAGCGACAAACCCGCGACGTGCCTGCCCAAAGTGCCTGAGGTGACTGCAATACTGCTCCTGCCTCACCGCACTGATGACGCCTGTGTCATCCAGCAACCGCCTGAACGTACTTCTCCACAATAGCCACTTCATCAACCTGAACAACATCGTCACCGCGTGCTCGTCCCAACCTCTTCCACATTCCTGCCGTGCATCAATCACAGTACGACATTCTCGCAAACAAACCTTTCACAGGCATTCAACATGAACTTGACCAATAAAGATAACAAAGTTTTTTCATCGAAAAAAAAGTACAAAATCGTCAGGGAATGGCTCCAGAAGCACATGCGAGAAGCGATATCAGGACAGAAGTTGCAGGATACAGAAGAAAACACAAGCGCACAGCGAAAGACAGCACCCGAGCGGTCATGCACAAAATCAACATCTGTGAACGTATATAGGATAGATGTGGTTTTCCTTACACCAAAAACACCAGTTGATAGCGGACGTGTCTCATCTCGGCCACCGATCTTGCCTCCAATCCATCCGACACGACCAGACTCGAGCGTCTTTCGGAATGTCAATGCATGGCTGGAAGCGAGCGTAAACGCACCATCACCGCCGCTCATGGCTGGGATTTCATACTGGAAAGAGGCAACAATTCCCAATGCCAAAGGCTCAGCAGTCGTTCAATATGCTGTGCCACTATCTGTAGCCTTGGGCGTAGCCAGGCCAACAACAGCTACAAGACAACGGACACCGTGTTTCCGACGGTCAGCTAGAAAAGTGCAAGTTCAGATGCCTTCAATACTACGTAAAAAGTCTGTGCATCTGCCGGGCAAGAAGCGGAGGAGAAGACAATCAGTATGCATAACTCCTCTGTCTATTTCCTACCCGAATGTCCAAGAAGATACCACTCCTATGCTCATAACACGGTCGAAATCCTTCCTCAAACCTTTAATACCGCCAACGAGACAGCAAAAATCGGCGCGTCATGGGCTATTGATATCTGTTAGCGATTCACGAGAGTGTGTTCCTCCTCGACATGGCACACTCAACAGTGCAAGATTCGGTGACGTGGAAAATGACACTGAGCGACATGCCCACAGGACTTTTATGCGCACAGGGCGAGACACAGACATTACAAGGCCGTCTACAGCATTAGCAGGCCTTGTTTGCGAAGACTCCGTGGGGGATTTGTCCGATGCCCCTACATACTCCTCCGGCCCACCGCCCCCGTCATACCGGTCGCGCCGCGAGTCGATGCTTACTACATCGTCTTTCGGCTGCATTGACGGAATGAACCCGGCGCAGCGTCAGGTCAGCCAGCAGCGAGCAGCATTACAAAAGGGGATGGGATGCAAGTTGAAGAGGCTTGTTCAAAACTTTGGGATTTGACCAGTGAAGGCGGGTGATTCAAAGACACCAAACCCTCATAAGGCAAAGACCAGAGTGTACAGGATGATGGTATAGCGGTATTTTACGAAGCAAAAGTGAGTGGACAATTAATTCTATGTGTATTGTAAGGATGCGACATGGATGGGCGACGAAACGATGCCAGAAGATGTATTGCAGCCATGAGACATTACGATTGTATGATCTAGAAGAAGGCATAGTTATGCATGCAAGTATGTATATTGTGATTATGACAAGTGCCAAGACATGGACAGGCGAAAAAGAAATAAAGACTTTGGCGCGTGACGAGTGATGTTGATTTTGGGGTACTATGTATGTTTGCACTGTGAATGAAGGGCGGAGGGTGGTAGACGGAGGTCACGGTCATATGACGTGTGGGATCGGGCCGCGGTGAACCGAAGCGGCTGGGGCTGATTGACCGCCTGCTTATTTGACGGGACAGCAATGCACTCCACCATCTCCATTCATTGTTATTGGATCCGACGTGGCACGCTGTACGACGTCCCAACGACCCCACGCACGCAATTGAATGTCCATGGCCGCCCACTAGATCATCTCGGCCGTCAGCACGACGAACCTCTCCGCTGGCTGCTCCACTTTGTTGCTGCCACGCGCAGAGACAGCGACGCACCATTACAGCAGTATATGCACCACCGACGTCCCAACCGCAGCCCCGACTCCACTTGAAAGACAAGACGCAGCCGTACAGTCAGACGCGAGCATGGCTTCCGACGACGAATCTCATTCGCGGTCCAAGAGGCCAACGCCAATGACCAGACAGTCGTCGTCGCAGTCGCACATTTCGCAGTCGCCGTCCGAGGGGGGCCACCAACGGCATACGCACCACAAAGCCCAGCGGCATCATGTTGTTGGCCAGCGCGTACAGAGGAACACATCGTTTGGCAAGAACCTCAACAAGCTTAGCAAGGCCGAGAAGCAGGCACAGCAGGCGCAGCAAGGGGCTGAACACGGCGGCCGACACCACCGTCGTTCGCAGTCTGGTAATTCTGTCTCTGCACCCAGCAGCCCTCACTCGCGGCCGGGCTTCAAGCGCCATGCGTCATCTGGTGCTATCGTGAGAGCAAACCAGGCACAGGTGCAAGCCAACCTACGTAGAAACCACTCGAGCGGCCATTTGCCGCCGCGACAAGGGCACGGCAAACACGGGCTCAAGTCCAAGGGCGATCATGCTGTGTCGAGGCGGGCACTCGCGACACCCAACCGATCTCGCCAATCATCGCCCGAGCCAGGTGCAGGAGTGCATTTCGACCTTGCCAACGAGGACGAGGATGGCGATGAGGGCGGATGGACGGAAGAGAGTGCGTCTCAGTCACCAACAACGACTCGATCCAACACGCGCTCCAACTCGGTCATACTCGACGCACAACACCGAGCAGCTGAGATCAACATGGAGAGAAACAGGGGGGAGCCATCACAGCAAATAAGCGCAATCCGGGAACAGCCAACCCAAGCGGCTCAGGCAGTTGTCGACCGCACACGCAGCAGCACACAAATCAATGGGGGGAGCTCGTACCAGCACTCGAGGCCTCCAGATGCTGACATGATTACTTCACGTCTACTGCAGCGCAGTGCCTCGCACCATGTCCCTCCCAAAACAACGTCGGTCGCGGCCACGGTAGTGTCGTCGTCGGACCGGCACAATCTCCTTAGCCATACGGCTGGATCTGTGGGATCGACGCTGGTGGACACATCCGGGCGCGACCTAGTATCACGGTTCATGGACGGAGATGGTTCAGCCGGAACACCACACGAGGGCGAGTACATGGCCGGACGCGGTGCCAAGGACGAGGATGAGGGAGGCGGACTGGACAAGATGAAAAGAAACAAGTCAATGCCAAACTTTAGTGGCGGTACAGAGACGCCGTCGAAGACGCCGCAGCGATCAGGCACGACGACGCCTACCAACCTGCCGCCGTCACGGACTCAACAGAAGCTCATGTTGCAACGAGCATCATCTAACGTGGAGCCGCAGAAGTCGGTGCCAGTGACTCTTCCACGCACGGGTGGGCCGACGTATCTTCAGTCGAGCATACAGTACAACGCAAACGGCGAGGGACGGTTGGACCCACGGCTGCTGCAGCAGTTTAACCACGTTGCGGTTGAGTACAGCGTGGTGCGAAGATACCGCAACCCGATTGCGGACGCGGTTGCGCGCATCTCGCAAATGCCGGGCGTGGCAGTCAAGATGCGGGCGTGCAAGCAGCAACAGCAGCAGCAGCAGCAAAAGGCGAATGGAAACGGAACGGGAGCAAACAGTCTGAGCACGAGTTTCAATGATGGGGTTGCTGAAACGGACGGAGCGGGATCGCGGAGATCGCGAGTCAGCTTCGAGAAGGGTCGGAGCAGTCAAATAGAGGGCGATTTTGAAGGGCGGCAGAGCTTCGAGAGCGAGCAAGCGCGCAGTCGAAACGAAGCCGAGGAAATGTGTCGGCGACTGTGGGAAAGCGCCGAAGTGGTTGAAGCGGACTGAAGATTGGCTTGTGCCGCCGATCAGGCATGGTTTGCCGAGTCGGGCAAGGGAAAGTGTTCAGCAACCATTGTGAGAAGGTTGCAGGGAAGAGGATTGTTTTGGACAGGTGCGTGCGCCCACATTTCCCTGAGCTGAGGCGTTGTGTTTTGAGAAGGGGGTTTTAATAAATGAGCGAGGGCTTCTTGCTTGGGAGGGGGGGGGGGTTGTTTGTTTGGCGACTGAAAGCAGGATGGTGTGTGATGTGATATTGTTTTGGCTAGGGGCGGGGAATGACGGCCGCCCTAGGACTTGATTGATTCAGAGGTCAAGTTTCCAAAATCCCAAGGCTAACCACTGGGCGGTGACAGGCTACGAACGAAGAGGCGCCCCCCCCCCGTCCCCTACACAAATCAAAGTTTGAAGCCTGAGAGTGGGTGGTGGGGAGTTTGTGGGTTGCAGTTGCAAGATGATATTACGCGAGGATTTGCGGTCATTCTGCGCGCGTGTTCAAGAGGCAATTGAAGGCGACGGGGCAGAGAGGGAGGGATGTTTGTCGCGAGAGAGCAAGCAAAAGGCTTGGCCCCATTTGTTCTACTGCTAGCGGCAAAGGGGCACGAACTGGATTTGCAATGGACAGCCGATAGTTCATATGCGAGGCTGAAGAGACGAAATAAGAGCAAAGGTACTAATGGCAGGGGGTGGTGGCAAGCAGCCAATGCGAGCGGCGTCGCTTGGGTGAGGTGTAATGGTAATTTTATTTTTTTTCTCTCGACTTGTTGGCTTTTGGCAGTGTGGTGTGCCAAGTTCTCACGATCATGCGCACATGGAGGAGCAACCGTGCTGGAGGCCAGCCGCTGCGTGCTACTGCGGCTCCTGCAGCTGTTGAGCAGCAGAGTGATTGAGGCGACGGCTGTCACTGGACAGTCGTGGGTGGTGTTGGGGCGGGCGGGCGATCAGAGTCTTTGCAGAAAATTCTTTACCCTCTCACATCACTCGGCAAGCCTCTCAGGCTGGCTCCAGATGACTCCAGATGACAGCAGATGACAGCACAGCAAGAGTTGGCATGGCCACAATAAATGGAGACCGGTCCGGCGAGGGCTGGTAGCGTGCCACGAGGGTGGCGGGCGAACAAAGGTAGTGTGCTGGATGCGGTGTACCTACCGGCTCCGCGTCGACAAGTCACGGCTGACGGCCATTTGCGCGACGATTCGCTGAGCACGCCTGCCGTGTCTGTGCGGCGCGCTTTTCTTGTCAGGCTGGGTGACGATGGAACGATTGGGGTTAGACTAGGTTTCCCTGGCCAAACGGCCATGAAACCACGCGCCTTGGGTGTTGCGACAAGCTGGGGGGGTCGGGGCATGCATGGCGACAGGGCCGTCTGGGGTTGTGTGTTTGTGCGCGCATCGAGGGCGAGGATGTGGATGGGGGGCCGTTGCAGCGATGATGGAAGAGGCGGAGTGGGTGAAGGACTGGATGTAGTCATGGTAGGATGCACGCCAATGCGCTGGTCAGGTACACCCGAGCCTGCCGTTTAGTGGGAGCAAATGGCAAGCCCGACCTGCGTTAGCGCCTTGCAAGAGCCGAAATTGCCCCAGGAACAGGGAAATTGCGACCACCCAAGGCAGGAGCATCCTCCCCGGCGACCCACCCGCATCGTCTTCCTCCCCTCAAACGTCCCACTCTGCCTGGACCCTACCTACTTACTCACCCACCTTCTCTCGTTGCGCCCGCTCTTTTAAATTTGCTTCTGCCCCGTCGGCTGACTACCTTCTCTAGCTAGCTCTCGCCCTTGCTTACGCACTGAACACTTTTGTATACACTCACTCACTCACTCACTACTACTCTCTCCATCGACGCTCATTTGTCCTCCCGCTCTAGTCGGACTCGACATTGCACTCTTGCGCCCATTCACTTGTCGCCAAAACAAACCAAACACACGCAATCAGCACCACCACCACCACCACCACCACCACCATGCGCTCCTTCCACCAAATCCCTCTCGCGCTCTGCGCCCTTGTCGCAACCGCTGTGGCGACCACCTCCCAAGACACCATCAGTTACGATGCCACCGTCTACATCACCTCGACCATCACCCGCATCAACACCGTCACTGCCAGCTCTTCTCCCACCGGCGCCCCAGTCAACCAGACCTCGACCATCGTCGCCAGCCACCCCTCCGTTGCGCCCTCTTTCAGCTCTTTGAGCTCTTTGAGCTCTTTCAGCTCTTTCAACGCTGGCAACGCTACCAGCGTCGCGCCCACTGCTGCTCCCTCGGCGCCCACTGCTGCCCTCCCCAGCGCTTCCGCTCCTGCCGCCTTCCCTGGCGCCGCCTCTTCTCTCACCGCCAATGCCTACCTTGCCCTCGTCGCTGCTGGTCTTGGCTACCTCGTCCTCTGAGAGACTCCCTTTGCTACAAAGCAACAAAGTCAATCCCAACTCAGCCTCCAACCCCTCGCTGCTTCTTGCATCATCGACTGGTGCTCGTCTTTGATTCAACCAACCATCCAATCCTCCAATATACCCGGAAGCTTCCCTCTGGCCTAGGCTCGCTCAAATCTTTGTTTTTCATACCCTTTTTATTTCACGACCATGTCCCTTGTTATGTCTTTGTTGCATTCTTTTGCTCGCCCATGTAGCGACCTCTTTTTCTCACATTCTCTTGTTTGGTTTGTAGCAAACTCGGGGTTTTTGCTCAACCATTCTGACATGTTCTTGTTTTGTTTTACCCCCCCAAAACCTGTCAAAACTTGACATCTTTTTCATGCAACGCACGCATACAAGCAACCCCCTTTTGATTTGACATGTTACATCCAAAAACCTTTTTTTGGTATGTTTTGTTTCAAATCGCTATTTTCTACCAACCCCCCCCAAACCCGCTTTTTTGGCTCTTGTAATCAACGTCTACCCCCCTTTTTTCTGTTATTTGTCTGAGACGATTTTATGATGGAAACAAGTGTGTGTCGAGGTTTACAAAACCTTTCAGCGGGTGTGTCCATTTTTTGTTGTAATATGTTTTTGATTTGGGACTCTTTTTGCAAGTTTCCCATACCTTACGTTCCTTTTTCAAACCACCCCCGTTGGTTCACCACTTGTTTTTTTATACCTATGTTCTTTTTTTTTTCTTACGAATGTCAAGTGGTGATACCCCTTCGCTCATTTTTTGTTAACTTGCTTTTTTGGCACGACCTTATACCCCCCCTTTTTCCTCATCCCCTCCCCTTTTCTTCTTCTTCTTTTCTTCTGTACGTAAATGTTGGGGGTGAAGCCACGCTTGCGTGGGTTTTCCCGCTCTCCACATATACTTACGGAAGGTGAAAAAGAAAAACAAGGGAGGGAGGAAAAACTATTTTCGCGGAGGAGTCGGAGTTTGGAGATATATACCCCCACACCTTTTTTTGATTGAGTTGATTTGCTGTTTGGACATTGGAAGAGATCTCGAAGGATTTTGAAAAGTAGGACGAGAGAGAGAGAGAGAGAGAAAATATACGATTACTCGTTGCGAACTTTGATCATCTGTCCACATTTTCCGTGATCTATTTTTTTATTGTGTCTTTATCATCATGACATCGTTTTGTTTCCACCTTTTTGTAACTCCCCCTCCCCCCCTTTTTTTCACTTCTCCAACCTCGCCGCCCTCTCCTCATCCCTCCACCACTCACACTGCACCCTCCTCACCCCATCCCCCTCAACCCGACTATTCCCAAACGCCTCAATCCTCAACTGCAACCCGGGCATACCCTCCTTCTCCTCATACCTTGGCCAAACCGGCACACCCTCCCTCCTCCCCTTAGCCGGACTCGCGCCCAAGGCGACGAAATCCGAGAAAAACGCATGTAGCACTTGCTTGCCCACGTCTGGATACTGGACCCCACCCGCGCCCGCGGGCTCCGCCCACGTATATTTGGTGTCGGCCGTATGCGGCACGCCCTTCCACGCCGGAAAGGTATTATTCACCGCCCACGCCGCCTTGAACACGGGCGCGCCTAGTTCCGCCATGCGGACTGCGGTTTCCTGGCCAGGGCAGACGTACATGTAATCCGTGAGCGCGGCCGAGAGACGGTTGTACTGTGTCGAGTTGGGGCTGAATGCGTAGGGCCCGTTGGTAGGATCGAGGTCCGGGTCTGGATAGAGCTGCTCGACATCTTCGAGGTCGGAAGCGGTGAGGCCCGGGATGAGGGTGTGCAGGTAAGATAGGAATTGTGCGTTTGTGGAAATGTTACCGGGCGAGTAGTATTTTGCTTCGTCAAGCACGTTTGTGGTAATGGTCGGGATACGATAGAAGAGGCCGTCTCGGCCTGCTTGCGAGCCTGCTTTTTCGAGTAAAAACCCGCCCCGTGTGGGCTGGAAGGGCCACCTGATGCTGTATTCGGAGGCCCGCCAGATCTGAGCGCTTGCATTTTCCAGGGCGGAAACGGGGGCGGCGCGCAGGCAGGCGAGGATGGCTGTGTCGGAGCTATTTGCGGCCGAGGCGCAGCCTGCGAGGGAGAGGTAGCGACTAAACTGCTGTTGGTAGAGCGGGTACGAGGCGTTTGGGAAGGACCGCGCGGTTACGCTGCCGGATTGCAGAATGGCCTGGGAGAAGAGTGGGGAGGCACCCTCTGAAGCGTTGTAGTTGTGGAAGAGGTGGATGGCCGTCGAGTGGGCGCCTGCGGAGCGGCCGCCCAGCGTGACGCGGGATGCATCGCCGCCGAATTGCGAAATGTATTTTTGCACAAATTCCAGGAGGGATTGCTGGTCTCGAAGACCTAGGTTTAGGAGGCCTAGGCGCTCGAAGACGGGCGAGGGGAGGAAGCCGAAGGAGTTTACCTAGTTCGGCGGATTTTTAGTATAGTGGAGGTTATACATATCTGTATTTGGATACGGCTGTTCTTACTCTGTAGTTGAAGTTTACCACAATTAATGGCTCTCGGGAATTGGATACGAATGATGGTCCGTCGAAGCTTCTTGAGCTACCAGCTACAAACCCGCCCTGAGATTGTCAGAAAAAAAAATAATTAATCAACATGATAAACTGCAAACTCACACCATGAATCCACACAAGCACAGGTAGTTTCTCATGTGTCGATATGTTCTGCGGACGAAACACATTCATGCTCAAACACGCCTCATTGACCTCGTACGTGATATCCAGCGGGTCCTGATGGCACGAAAATCCATATTGGGTCGCATTCTTCACACCCTCAAACGGTTCCGGGGGTCCAACAGGCGCGAACCGTGCTTCTCCAACAGGCTGCGAGACATAATCGATACCAAGCCAGGCATCCACGGCCTTTGGCAGCGGCTTCTTGGTCAGCGTCTGCGAGATAGTCGTACCGACAAAGCTCCCATAGCCAGGAAGCGTGACTTGGGGAGTGGCCTGTGTCGAGGCGACACTACTCAGCCATACGAGCGTGGTAAAAGTCTTTTGAGCCATGGTAACACGAGCCATGACGCTGACGTAAAGTTGTAAAAGCAGCTCAGAACGAGCAGCTTCGTCGGCAGCAAGAAGACGTTGCAATTGGAAATACATCATGTTCCATTCAGGTTAAAAACAAGACATGTTCTACATACAGACTCCGAAGTCGGGTCTTGCCAGTATCCGCTTGGGATACGCAGTATACCCTCTTCTCCACCGGGGTTACTCCAGTTGCCAAGAGATACAGTGGCACAGGCCTTGGGACCTGCTTGATATGGTACTTTCAATAAAAATTGTGGGGTGCGAAATTGCGTGACTAGCGATTCGTTATCGTCAACGGTAGACAGGACCGGTGCTTTTTCTACGAGCCGACATGACGGACGTTGGAAAATGTGGAGCAAGCCATGGAAGGTATCGCGAGCGTCAGCGCTGCTTCGGGTAATAATGTCGCCGAAACCGGGCTTGCTGCCGCCGATCCCTCGTATGCGAACCATTCCCAACTACGAGGCATAGACCGCACCGCTGACTCTTGCAGCCAATCTCCGACTTGAAAATATTCGAATATTGCCCCCAGAAACATGCCCCCGTCGTGAGGGCTCATTACGAAGAGTGTCATCTTCAAGGACGAACCTTTGTGCCTCGAATCTTACTGCACAAAGGCGACCTCTGACGTCAGCGCAGCCAATCCGACAGAGCTGTTTTTTTGGTGCTTGCTCAGCTCGGTATATATAGAGTTTGACAATCAACCTTGGGAGCTCCCACCGTCAAACCCTTTGTCTAGCTTCTTCAATGCTTCTTCAACCTCCACCGCTCTCTCTTCCCCGCCCCTGAGGCCTTGCACACGGGGCAGATCACGCATGACTTGCTGCACCAGGTCCTCCAGTGCTTTTGGATCCCTCATACTGCCTAGCGTAGCAGCATCGACTTTTCCTTTACCCTTGCTTCCTGTATCTGAGCGAGATGTCAGTGGCTGCTGGGGCGGGGGCTGAGGCTGAGGCTGTCGTTTTCGCAACATGACCTGCCCTTGTTTGTCCATGTAGGTTTCGTACCCTTGTTGATCGAGCACTTCGTCAGGCACGCGGACGTTGACGGGTGATCTGTTGCTGCTCTCGTTTGCCGTTGCAGGAGTGCTTGAAGAGGATGATGGGTTTGTCGAGGTCTTAGCTTTGTTGATTGCATCTTGGCTATATTTCTCAAGCGCATGAATGCAGTCTTGGTTTTCTTTATTGCCTTCCATAAGGAACCGTAGGCACATGATGGCATGCTCGCGTATATACGGGTTGTGTTCATCATAGGAACAGCAATTCAAGACTGCCTCAATACCGCCCAAAGGACGGATCTGGTCTTGTACTTGTTTGTTTTTCCATACCAATGAACTCAGTACAAGCACGGCAAGCTTCTTCAGGTTGCGCCATTCAAAGTCCGAAGGTTCATCGGCCGCTTCATCCATATACGGCCTAGGTGATGGCGATGTTGGTGGAGGAGCATAGGCCTCTGCAGCTCCTGCTGTAGTGTCATATGGTCGTTCGACAGCAACTGGTTGGGGTTGTGATGACTGTTGTTGTTGCTGCTGCTGTGAGTTATCTGCCTCTGCTGGCGTAGTTGTGGGTTGGGCATGTTGAACATTCCTCAAGGGTGGTGGTGACAGCTGACCCTTAGGGATCGCTGCATCGAGCTCTTTGAGCAACGTAACTAGCTCGTGAGAAATCTCCCAGTTACTCAACATCCTCTTCCATGTTTCGTGTTCGGTGAGGATAGCGAAGAACTCTAGGTATTGGTAGACGCCCTCATACATCCGCTCCATATCCCAGAGGTTAAGGGGAAAGTCCTCGGGTTGTGCATGTCCAGCCCGGATTTGACCCTGCAGAAAGATGAGTGCGCAAGTCTGTGGAATGATATGTCGCCGGAACTCAGTGAGCAAGAAATTGACCATATGAACGTCGCCCTGATCAACTTGTGGGTGGTTCGCTTTAACATGGCCTTTGGTAGGCTGGGTACGAGCTTGTCTAGCGCGGAAGATGTTGGTGAGAAGTTTCATTATGACAGCCTGGGCTGGCGATATGATATCCTTGGATCTAGTACATTGTCAGCTGGATCCTACCGATCCATCCAGTGGACTCACTCGGATTCTCTGAAAGCATGATAGGCAAACGGCAGAAGCTGGTTCGCAAGGATAGCTTCCATAATTTTCACCATGAACTTGAAGTAGAGTTCTTCCTCCCTCAGGTCCCAGGCAGCAACAAAGATCAACAGCTCGCGCAGTAAATTTCTTCCGTTGTCTTGTGCGAGGAGGAGATGGCACCGCACACCATGCATGCTCCTCACGCTACTGAAGACAGTCGGGTCCGAGTGATACCCAGGCTGTCCTTCTTGTGGCTCAACAATGCCGGCCATGATGATCATGGGCAGAACTTCGATTTCAGTGGGTCCCAGAATCAGGGGAACATCTGTGAGCAGGCCTCGGCCTTCATCTCCAGGAATGTCGTCGTAGTCATCGTCATTATCATCGTCGTCCTCTGGTGGAGGGGATGTCGGAGAGGCTACGTCACTGATTAGCCCTGATGGTCGGTCGGGGTCTGGCTCCAGACGCTTGAGCAAGTCTTCTTTGCCATTCTGAAGAATCTCGGCTCCAAAGGATGGCGGGTATGTCACACGGAAATCGATCTCACCTGCCGGGGGAGACCGTTTGATGCTGGGATCTAGTAACGAGTCATCCGCTGCTGGTTTCAGGGACTGTTTCTCCCCATCTGGGGTTGACGATGGTTGGTCTTGGCCGGATTCGTCCCCTGGTAACACGGTAATGGATGAGCGCATTCGGTCAACCTCGACCTGGAGCTGGTTGATGCTCTTGGCCAGCGCTTGTACGCTCTCCTCATTCTTAGCATGCTGGTCGACAACCTTGCGGTATGTGCTGGACTGAGTGATTTGGTCCCGGTATCTGGCAACAACATCTGCGTATAGCATGTTCCATTTCTAGAGAGGTCAGTAGCAACTTCGAACAGAGAGACTAGTCTCTACTCACGTTCTTTTCTTCTTCGCTCATGGTCTGCCACCGTCTTCTGCACTCAGCAGCAATCTCATTTGCACCGGCCTTGACTCCGTGCTGCGTGAGAGCCTTCTTGACATCATTTCCAGTCTCACCGATGTAGAGCAGGAAAGGGGATGAAGCGGGTTGTTGGGGTATCTTGAAGGTATCCAGGCTCCGAGCTGCGTGGCTTGGCAAAGACTGCTCCTCTGGAGGTGGTTCTTGATCCTGTTGTGGGAACTCATCCATTTTGTATTTCATATCGGCGAAGTTGGGGAGCTCGTTGTCCAGGTGGCTATCAAAGAGTTCAATCCAGAGCATGAGTTTGCGTTGCTCGTTCTTGGCGATGAGGTTGTTCAGGAATTGTAGACAAGTGATCAATAACTTTTTGTATGCATTGATGACGCCCTGCCATTTGTCCTCGTCTTGAGTTCCCGCTTCACCGTCGTAGCCTCTCGCTGTGACACGCACACAGACGTTTATGAGAGCAAATATGTCCTTGTCGAACAGCCTATCTGCGCTGAGATTCTGCACTCGCTCTCCATGGACTAGCACATTGCGCGCAATGCATACAAGCTGGTTTAGCCGTTCCAGATCTCTAAGCAGGCTCGGCGAGTAACTAGCTATGAGGGGACCCGACAGCCCCTCATATTCTGGAGCCGCAGGATCTGGCGCAGCAAAGCAGCGACGTTCGAGTGAGGGGAGAGCGGCCTTGAGTACGCCTGCAAGCTCGTCCCAAAACTCCCACGAGAGGCCGAGCTCTTCACGTAGCTCCAAGCTCTTGCGCGACTCTTCTAGTGTCTTCTTCACAATGTCGCGCTCCAACATGCGCAGCATATCGTCTCTAATATAGCCTGGATTGTGAAAGTGAACGGTATACGGGGCGAGTGCGAGGCGAAGACGGGTAAGGTATGGTCTCGCTGGTCTGTCATTTGAGCTCTCCGGGCGCTCAGAATCGCCCACGCTCTCGGTACCGTTGACGCTGCCGTCGACCATGTTGCCTGCCGAATTTTTCACAGTGGTTGCTGGCGATGTCGCGTGCTGGTTCCAGTCATGCCACAGCTGGTGTTGGGCGAGCAGACTGCGGTACACCCATACACGGATAGGGCCTGGAGCACGTAGGATGCGGTAGAGGTTGTTGGAGGCCAGCTCTTGGGCAATGTTGTGGTACTGCGCCAGCGCTATCGGGGCAAAGGCAAGGTGGGCAGGATTTTTGGAGGCGTCTGGAAAAGGCGAGGGCAGATCAAGGGCAGGCAGCAGCGAATCGGAGGGCGTGGAGAAGCTGGAGTCCAAAGTCATACTATTACTTGGGAGGCGTAGAAAAATTACGATGTCCGGCACAGAGAACCCCCACCATGCCTGCCCCGCCTGACGTCGTTTGTCCCCTGGGCTGGTATACTATGCAGAAAAGACAACGCCACATCACCAATCAACGAGGGCTCTCTATAAGATTTCCAAAAATGGTATTGCATTAATTTGTGCCAACAGAGACTGCTAACAATAGTATATATGTATGGAGAAAAATGAACCGCGCACAGGCACAAGTAGCCAAGCGCGTCTAGTGGCTCCAACTTGATCTTGGAAACAATGTAATGTGAGTCTTGACGCATGGTAATGGCATCTCTCACGGACATGAATTGTTCCGTTTGTTGCGTCACGCATAGAAAAGAAAGACTGGACGACAAGCCCGTGCTGGCGTTGTATAGAGACTTACATACCCTCGGCCTTCAGTCTTGCCGCCATGAATCTACTTACCTTCTTCGGCTTTCCATTTCGCTCTTCCATGATTGGGTTCTCCTCATCCTCCTCTGTCGCCTTAAATCCACCCTGTCGCTGGATGAATCGGTTTCGCGCCTTGTGATACTGGGCTTGGATTTCGCGATTCAAGAGGACCTGATCAAATTCATCAGGCGCTTGAGGCTCCGAGGGCAAGGGGATGTGCTCAGTGATTGTCGAAGCTAGGGTCTGACCAGCAGGCCCGGTCGGTACAGACGGCGCTTCTGCGACAGGAGGTGTAGGCAGTACTTGTGGAGTGTTTGCTCCAGCACGGGCGCTCTTGAACCTCGAGATCTTGCCTGGCTTGGGAGGT